TAAAATATTTTTCAACACTCAAAGAGAATTTCCATCTCCGCGCGGCCATATAATATCCTCTATATATACACCATGTTTCAACAATGGTAAATATGTTTCTTTGTTGTTGTTGGTTTTTTTCAATTTCGATCATTATCACCAAACGAATGTTAATATTTTCCTTTTTGAGAGAAGACCCCAGTCCATCAAGTCATATTATACAACGATGAAAAACACGTAGAAGGATCCCTTTTTAAGGCAAATCAAATGCGACTGTGATCGACAAAAACGAATAGTAAAGGGGCTAATAAATAAGCTTTTAATTTTACTTTTCAGACCCTCTTCGTTATCGTAGACAAAGAGACTGATGGTATCAGTAGAAAAAAGGAACCACAATATGTGGCTGAGCTGAAATAGCAAAGCCAGCAAAAAAGAATATGACAACCACAGCTATTAAGGGTAATATTGGCGACCCCTTGGTCAACTTTAAAGATTTCCAGCACGCCCTAGGCATCGCCTATTACAGTCTGGGAGATTTCCGGAAAGCCATAGAGTACCATGAACGAGACCTCAAAATTTCGAAAGAAGTGGGAGACAGGGCAGGAGAAGGAACGGCGTACGGTAATCTTGGCAACGCCTATCACAGTCTTGGAGATTTCCAGAAAGCCATAGAGTACAATGAACGACACCTCAAAATTTCGAAAGAAGTGGGAGACAGGGCAGGAGAAGGAAAAGCGTACGGTAATCTTGGCAACGCCTATCACAGTCGTGGAGATTTCCAGAAAGCCATAGAGTACTATGAACGACACCTCAAAATTTCGAAAGAAGTGGGAGACAGGGCAGGAGAAGGAAAAGCGTACGGTAATCTTGGCAACGCCTATCACAGTCTTGGAGATTTCCAGAAAGCCATAGAGTACCATGAACGACACCTCAAAATTTCGAAAGAAGTGGGAGACAGGGCAGGAGAAGGAAAAGCGTACGGTAATCTTGGCAACGCCTATCACAGTCTTGGAGATTTCCAGAAAGCCATAGAGTACTATGAACGACACCTCAAAATTTCGAAAGAAGTGGGAGACAGGGCAGGAGAAGGAAAAGCGTACGGTAATCTTGGCAACGCCTATCACAGTCGTGGAGATTTCCAGAAAGCCATAGAGTACAATGAACGACACCTCAAAATTTCGAAAGAAGTGGGAGTCAGGGCAGGAGAAGGAACAGCGTACGGTAATCTTGGCAACACCTATCATAGTCTTGGAGATTTCCAGAAAGCCATAGAGTACAATGAACGACACCTCAAAATTTCGAAAGATGTGGGAGACAGGGCAGGAGAAGGAAAAGCGTACGGTAATCTTGGCAATGCCCATCACAGTCGTGGAGATTTCCAGAAAGCCATAGAGTACTATGAACGACACCTCAAAATTTCGAAAGAAGTGGGAGACAGGGCAGGAGAAGGAAAAGCGTACGGCAATCTTGGCAACGCCTATGACAGTTTTGGAGATTTCCAGAAAGCCATAGAGTACCATGAACGACACCTCAAAATTTCGAGAGAAGTGGGAGACAGGGCAGGAGAAGGAAAAGCGTACTGTAATCTTGGCAACGCCTATTTTGGTCTTGGAGATTTCCACAAAGCCATAGAGTACCATGAACGAGACCTCAAAATTTCGAAAGAAGTGGGAGACAAGGCAGGAGAAGGAAAAGCGTACGGTAATCTTGGCAACGCCTATCACAGTCTTGGAGATTTCCAGAAAGCCATAGAGTACCATGAACGATACCTCAAAATTTCGAAAGAGGTGGGAGACAGGGCAGGAGAAGGAACAGCGTACGGTAATCTTGGCATCGCCTATGACAGTCTTGGAGATTTCCAGAAAGCCATAGAGTACCATGAACAAGACCTCAAAATTTCGAAAGAAGTGGGAGACAGGGCAGGAGAAGGAAAAGCGTACGGTAATCTTGGCCACGCCTATCACAGTCTTGGAGATTTCCAGAAAGCCATAGAGTACCATGAACGAGACCTCAAAATTTCGAAAGAAGTGGGAGACAGGGCAGGAGAAGGAACAGCGTACTGTAATTTTGGCAACGCTTATGACAGTCTTGGAGATTTCCAGAAAGCCATAGAGTACTATGAACGACACCTCAAAATTTCGAAAGAAGTGGGAGACAGGTCAGGAGAAGGAAAAGCGTACGGTAATCTTGGCAACGCCTATGGCAGTCTTGGAGATTTTCAGAAAGCCATAGAGTACCATGAACGACACCTCAAAATTTCGAAAGAAGTGGGAGACAGGGCAGGAGAAGGAAAAACGTACGGTAATCTTGGCAACGCCTATGGCAGTCTTGGAGATTTCCAGAAAGCCGTAGAGTACCGTGAACGACACCTCAAAAGTTCGAAAGAAGTGGGAGACAGGGCAGGAGAAGGAAAAGCGTACGGTAATCTTGGCAACGCCTATCACAGTCTTGGAGATTTCCAGAAAGCCATAGAGTACTATGAACGACACCTCAAAATTTCGAAAGAAGTGGGAGACAGGGTAGGAGAAGGAAAAGCGTACGGTAATCTTGGCAACGCCTATTACAGTGTTGGAGATTTCCAGAAAGCCATAGAGTACCATGAACGACACCTCAAAAGTTCGAAAGAAGTGGGAGACAGGGCAGGAGAAGGAAAAGCGTACGGTAATCTTGGCAACGCCTATCACAGTCTTGGAGATTTCCGGAAAGCCATAGAGTACCGTGAACGACACCTCAAAATTTCGAAAGAAGTGGGAGACAGGGCAGGAGAAGGAAAAGAGTACTGTAATCTTGGCGTCGCCTATAGAAATCTTGGAGATTTCCAGAAAGCCGTTTCCTATTATAAAAAAGGTATTACTGCCTTGGACTATATCAGGGGAAATCTTATATCTAACGACGAATGGAAGATTAGCCTGAGGAGTATGTATGATCGTACTAATTTACGCCTATGGGGGCTACAGTTTGAGCAAGGTAATGTCAATGAGGCAGTTTTAATTGCTGATCATGGACGTGCACAAGCTTTAAACGATCTTCTGGAGTTCAAGTATGGGTTGAAAGGGTTACGTCCAGAAATAGAAACACTCTCTGCAACAACGCCTGACATTCTTAGTTACCTGCTACCAAATACAGCTTTCATTGGTATCAACAAGGGAGGAATAGTTCTCTGGGTGAATGAGAAAGGAAAAGAAATCAAAACCAGAAGAACTCAGATCGATATCTCCGTCACAAGCTATTTTCAGTCTCTATTGGAGGCTACGCATAAAGAAATAGATGCAAGAGCTGATGTTAATTGTGAAGATCGCTCATTAATGAGGCCAAGCGATAAAAAGTTAGCCGAAGAAACATCGATTAAGCCAAAGTCTCATCCTTCATGTTTTGAGACAAAGTCATTGCAAACATTTTACAATGTTGTTATAGACCCTATAAGAGACTTACTCCAGGGCGATGAAGTTGTAATTGTTCCAGAAGGACCTCTGTGTTTGGCGCCTTATGCTGCTTTCATGGACTTGAAATCAAAGTACCTCTGTGAAACGTTTAGAATTCGTCTGCTCCCCTCGCTTTCTAGCCTGCAATTGATCCAAAATTGTTCAGCAGATTGGCACAGCAAGACCGGTGCTCTTCTTGTCGGCGATCCGTGGGTACAGGAGGTAACGACGCTAGGGCAGTTAGAGTGGGCCGAAAAAGAAGTGCAGATGATTGGGGAAATACTTCAAACGGAACCTCTCGTTGGAAAGCAGGCAACAAAAGATGAAGTTTTGAGACGTATCTCCTCGGTTGCTTTGGTGCACATTGCTGCTCACGGTGAAATGGAAACAGGAGAAATTGCTTTGGCCCCAAAGACAACGCCTCCATCCGTGGATCCAGCCAGGGAGGACTATATCTTAACTATGAAAGATGTTTTAAAGGCGCAGATTAGGGCAAGACTTGTTGTACTTAGTTGTTGTCATAGTGCTCGGGGAGAAGTCAAATCTGAGGGTGTGGTCGGCATCGCGCGTGCTTTTTTGGGTGCCGGTGCTCGTTCTGTTCTGGTGTCCCTGTGGGCGATCGACGACGAAGCTACTATGGAGTTCATGAAAGTTTTCTACCAACAGCTAGTCTATGGACGAAGTGCCAGTGAGGCCCTGAATAAAGCCATGAAATCCATGAGAGAATCTGACCGCTTTAGCGCAGTGAAGTACTGGGCGCCGTTTGTTCTTATTGGTGATGACGTAACGTTCGAGTTTGAAGGCATCGATTAAATAGCAAGGTATTTTCGAATATATTTAAACCTGGGATCATAATCCCTGCATTTGCAATCGTCATTTTAACTAGCAATTATTTTTGTCGTTTTATCGGACAACGAGCTCAACCGGTGCCACGTGTAGCGTCAATCTGCCAATCACAGGTCACGTTGACAGTAAGAAAGGAGACTTCGTTTGGCAGTTAAACACTACAAATGAAATTTATTTCAAGTCTCATGATTTCCTTACATTTCAAAGTATCCTTGGCCCTGTTTGAGTTCGTTGCATTGTAACTTACAGTGCAACTTGACATATGCGACCACCCAAAATTCCAAGATGAAATTTCCGGTCGCTTAGGAAAGTGTCCAGCGGTACTTACCTACATAAGAAAACCCGAAAACCGGAAATTCCGGAGAGTCCCCAGGTATGTTGCTCTTTGTGTGAAAAGATTGTTTTGGCATTTTTGGTGGGTAGGTGATATATGTCCAGGAGCAATCTTGTGAGCAAAAATTTGATAGCAAATTGTTTTCGCAATTTTAGCAAAAAAAAAATGATTCTGTAGTCACAAGAAAATTTTGTGAGACACTCATTAGCAAATATCGCAAGAGTAGCATGAATAACCAATTTAACAAAATTCTAGATTAAGAGAGAGAAAAGCCCAAGAACTGCCACGAGAAGTCAGCAAATTTCGCAGAAATCACAAAAGTAACAACAATTTTCCTTGCTATGTAAAGAGACGGAGTAACGAATTTAACAAAATTCTAGACTTAGAATCCTGAGAACTAAAGGGCCCCGAGAAGTCCACAAATTTCGATTGTTAGTCTTGCTATTCTTACGATATTTGTTACTCAGTCTCTGAAAAGGTGGTTCTTTGCTCGAAATGATTTCGAAGTCGCTACCTGAAACCACTATCCTTCTGCTAGCTATCTAACGGTGCTTTTGCTGTTTTTGTTGTTGTTCTTGTAAAGGTACGATGAAGAATGCAGCAAACAAGTTCCTAGCTATCTGCAGTTGAAGTCAGTTTAATTTTTGACACAATCATTAGCAACCATTACGGGGTTGAGCGTTCTTCTCAAGGATCGCAGGTCTTTATCTCTTGAAGAGAAAGAAAATGATGCTTCTTGTTCCGATTTATTTGTTCGTGTCACATTACAGGTTGTTGTATTTACATAAATGTATAGAAAAAGATGGTGACGGGGAAGCCTGGGGCTTATATAGGGTCTAGGCTCCCTCTAGGTTAGTTTAACTAGACGGTGATATTAGTGTGCTACGAGCGTTGCGTGATGACACTAAAAACGGCTGTGTGCATCCCCATTCCCAAAACCCTAGTGATGTGGGTATCCCCTGTAACCCTAAACCAAATCGCTAAGGTAATATGAGAAGGGGATGTCTATATCACTAAGGTCTGGGAATGGGGATGCCCAAAACGCGGGGATGCCCATATCACTGTATTAAACATTAGACTAAAAGAAGAGGAAAGATGCGATTTTACAAAATCAACCACAGATTCCTAAGATACAGGAAAAAGGAGTAGAATCAACATCAGTTACTAACAAAATTACTTACAAAATAGGAAGAGTTATATAATCATTTAGAAAATATATGGAGTGTTAGTTGGATTATAAATGATAAGGAAGGTAACATATTAACAAGAAATATTTCGATAAAAGTTCACATTGAAGGGAAAATTTAAAATTAGCTATAGACCAGTTACTGTAGTTAAATGGTTGCTTACGCCTAGTTTAAACGTCGCACTTCTCATGTACCGGACCTTTATCCTTCAATTAAGTACATAAAAAGATCGACGTTAGAATCATTAAATTCGACATATCTTATCTGGGTCCGGACCAATGAGAGGCCCACATGGGAATTTCGACTGCTGAGCGACTTCGCTCTTTCAAACGTCGAACTTCTCATGTGCCGAACCTAATGCATAAATTATTAAGATTTATTTTCACTTGTGAGCATTTTAGACCATTGAAAATCATGAAAATGAATTGACTAATTAAGTTCGACATCTGAATCAACCGTCGAATGACTTATCATTTGGGTCGAGCTAAATAGGTATTAAGTTTGGTTCATGAAAAGATCGACGTTTGAACTTGGAGAGTTCCAAAAGTTTGTGCATTGGCAAGATATTTTGTTTGTTTTAAGGTTGTGCGAGACTTTATATTGGGTCGAAGATACTGAGCAAATTGCGTTTAATTTGTAATCATGAAGAAATTAAGAGAACCAGATGTAAAAAGATTGTCGAAGCTCGAAGGCAATGTAAGGAGAGATTTTCCATGAATTCTTTATTTGTCTTGAATTTCATATCTTTGGCGCTGTTTTAAGTAATTCATACTGAATTTGCATAAAGATGTCTTAGCTCCGCAAAAAGGCTCGTGCCATTTTATTGTCCTTTAATGTGCTTTGTGTCCGCTAAGTAATAATTGTAGAAAAGCCAACAGTGTTCCTTAACAAACAAAACTAATTTCTCGTTCTCTTTTTAATTATAAACATTGCATTTTACTTCAATGATGACTTTTAAAAGGATAATTAGTTTCTGAATAATGGTTATTTAACTTCAGTCTATCTATCGTGATTTTACAACCGGACAACATCTGTTCATAGGCCTTTGTACAGGTGCACCTTGTTTTAATTGTAATTTAGCCGTCTGTTTGAGAACAAATATTTCATTAAGTTGTTAGTCAAATAGAGCTACAGGTGAATTTTGAATATGAAAGGATTCGCTGTCTATTTTTAATAGATCGGTTTTTGTTTAAGGTGAAAACTGGGTTGCAATTAGTCTACGCTTCTTTCTATTGAAACAGCCGCTCGCTAAACTTGTATTTTCATTCATGTTATAATACTTTGTACTTAAAGGTTGTTTTGCTGACCTGGCTACAAGGTCTTTATTTCAGAACTGTACTTTTACTTTCTTAGGGCCTTTTTACATGGAGTGGGGGACCCCGGTATAGTGGGGTTGGTTTCTTTTGTTTTCACGCTCTGGGGGACACAAAACAAAAGAGACCTACCCCACTAAACCGGGGTCCCCCACTCAATGTAAACAGGGTCTAAAATAACAACGGTAATAAAAGATTTCAGATTAAACATAGAGTTTTAATTAGTTTTCATTTAACTCTAAGCGATTTCTGTCTATATTTCTATTGTATTCTTTTGTCTTTAATGGTTGTAGAAGAATCATATGTAAGTACCGGTAAGCTAGTTTTTACTGTTTTTCGATTATTTTCGCCTTTTCCTGCCTGAGTTATTGTTATTTGATCCGCTGAAGAATAAACGCTGTTGGAACCAAGTTTAGTCCTGTTTAATCTACTGCTGTACCAGTTAGTGGTTTGATCCTGGTCCTACAGAGAAGTGACGGCTCAGCGGAAAAACCTTCCGTCACTTTACCAAGGGTGTCAAGCCTATACGAATTTAAAGTTGACACAAATGCAAAACTGTCACTGAACTGTCGATCGCATAACTGACGATCCTTATGCTGATTTTTTCGTGATCATAATACAACAAATACTGATACGTACAAAACGTCTCACATGCAATCATCGGCTAATTTGAAGCATGATTAAGTAACCTTTTAAAGAAAATTTTCCTGAAAGTTCTTTTCATTTCTCATTTATACTTGGGAAAATAATGAGCTAAGTCCAATTCTTGATGGCAAAGCGACCAGAGCGACCTTTCGGATGGTTTTGGATTCATTTACACACAAGTTTTAACTCGAAATATCATGAGCTATAGCTTTTTTATCAAGCACAAATGGCCGACGCCTTTCATTTTGACGCCCGTGGTTTTTATGCATGCCCAATAAGGCAGTAGTGTAGGAGCTGTTCGTAAGGTCTCTCCTAATTGGTCGCAGGAAACAATGACATGTCATTCTTCCAATTGTTTTAGTATTGTTTGGGGTCAGGGAAACACACCATTGGCCACTCCAGAAAATACCATAACATACCATAATACTCTTTGTTTGTCACTCCAAAATTTAGCATAAACATTGTTTTCAGTTTCGTTTGCAATTGGGGCCATTTTAACTCCCAAGAGAAACTGAAGACAATGGAGTAACTAACAAAGAGTATTATGGTATGTTATGGTATTTTCTGGAGTGGTCAATTGGCCCAATAGGGAGCTTAATGCGTTTTTGAACGGCGCACGTCAACCGGAAGTGAGGACTTTTCCATTTTAATGTGCCGTCATGTGACGCTGCCACATTTGTGCTGCGACTGTATTTTCTCTTAATGAACTTGCTCATGAGTGCAAACAGTTCACTTCTGATTGGCGTGCGTCGCTCAAAAACGCCTTTGCTGAGGACAGTGTCTTTGTGAACCAACACAACCAGAACTTCCGGTTTGAATTTTCGACAACTTTCGGTAGTGAATGGAACAGCATTTTCAGAAGTTCCCAAACAAACACGACAACCTCGCGAGGTAAATCCAAACATTTCGAAAATTTTTTCTAAGTAGTTTTCTTTCCATTCACGCCCTGTTCCTAGAACTTACAGGGAGTTAAGGTGGGGGGAGGGCAGAGTCAAAAAATGATTCCAAGGGAGAAGTTGACGGGTGACGGCGATCAATGTACCTCTTGGTCGCGCTTTCGTTAAATAAAAAAAAGTAAACACCTGTCAGGCTAATAGTTTTTCATGATTTGCTCCTTCAGCAAACGGGGCTCCTAGGCTGCAAATTTAACACTAGCATAATTTTTGGCAATTCACTTTCACTAGCATGCGCTTGATTTTCATATTTTTTACCGAACAAAAGCACTGCTAGCATATTTTCACTTTTGGCTAGTTTTGCAGCGCACAATTGTCCCGAAATCAGTGCTACAGCCAAATTTAAGTTACAAAATCATTTTTTTGTTTGCTTATAGTCACTGGGACCTGGGTCTTACACGAAGTGACCCACGACTTTTTCCTCAGGATTCAACGCATCCGCATAAAAAGCTCGGTTTATACGACAACGAAAACGTCCGCGTGCTGGTTCTGGATATTGATTGAGTTTTTTTTTATAAAAGCTGCCAGACAATGAATTATGCTGTCTTTGAGTTTCTAGGTGAAATAAGGCCCGGGGGGTACTCCTTGGAATTCTTGGTGGGGGTATGCGTACCCAGTTCTCAAAATCCTGACCCTAATTCAGACATTTTAGACCAAGAAAATGTCAGTTTTCACACCGGTTTCATACCTGGCCTCTAAACTCCATACTTGTTTTCAAACCTAGCCTGAGAAATTATCAAGATCAATATATAAGGTTTATATATAGAGAGAAAACCGTTTACAGTACAACTCAAAAAACGGTCATAAATCGGCCCATGAACCACACAGGACAGATGTACACTTTTGTGTAAGGTAAGCTGTTTTTTTATTGGAATCCTTTCATTTTCGTAGGTTACAGAAATGAAGTGTTTTCCCCATACAATCCTTATATTTCGAATGTTACGCAACAATTCCGATGCTCGCCGATACATAACAGGCCAGAGGCCCGATTTTAGTGCGCGCAGGAGGAGGCCTAATCTCCACAGCAACCACCGCAAATCGGTTTCCAATAACAGACAAGGTAATTAGTTTTAAGTATTCCTCCAGACACCTTTGGAGAGCGCCGGACACATTGCCTGTCAAGGAACTTTGTACTTCTGATTAAACGAACCAGACATCTCAAGGAAACGCGAAATTTGATCGGACTATTTGGGTATTATAAATTCATTTCACGGTCGATTGAAAATTTGGAAGTCGATCTTCGCGCCTCTGGCTTCGCAATTGATAACTACAGTTTTCTCGCCGCATTTGGATTCAAATAGGCTTGATACGCTTTCAATGGTTTTTCAAGTGCTTTCTTTTACGAAAATAGTGCTGCGATGGCTTATTTAACTTCTGCCAAGAGTGGTATGCCGTGTCAACATTGGTGACCTTCGAAGCGAAAACAGCCAGTCGGCGTATCAAGTTTTTACTGTGGAGCCGCAAGTAGGAATACACTATCTGCTGGCACATCTTTCTCCGGTTTGGAAGGAACTCGGCTTGGAAAAGACCCTGACCAAAGAAATTTTTAAATCTGCTCTATTTGAACGTTTGAGAAAAGCCGTCAACAATGCACATTTTATAGTCGCCGGAGAAAACGAAGGCGAGAGCTCGAGCTCTACTTCACATCCCCTTGAGGAACAGCAACACCGATTATCTGATTCAATGGACTACCTTTTTGATCAAACGGCGAAGGATTCAAGTCTTTTTTCTCTGCCTTAAGACGATGTAAGCGTCGATGTGCCTCCAGTGACAAATCACTCTCCAAAAAGCCCGCCAAGCACTGTCGAAATCCCGCCAAAATCTTATTCGCTGGAAGGAGCCCAAGACGCTGGACTACTCCAGATATTCTAGCTTCCACTTCAACATCTTCGTGTTCGCGTGGGCGATCTGTATAATCAACGTCACAGATACAGTATGGTTTCTATATCAGTCATTTTAGCCTCCTTGAAATGTCAATCATAATCCAAAAATTATTATTTCAGGTTACCTTTGTATTGTTACTTCCTTTTTACTTAATTAATAGGCCACATTATAGGGCTACCCTCTCCCTCAGAGCTTACAGGCGGCGCGCCCAAGATTCTGAGGTGAAGGTAGTCTCTCTTTTGAAATGTCGGTCACAATCCAAACAATTTTTGTAGGTGATTTTTGTAGTGTCATAGGCCAAATTATAGGGCTACCCTCTCTCTCAGAGCTTACAGGCGGCGCGCCCAAGATTCAGAGGTGATGGTAGTCTTTCTTTTAAAATGTCGGTCATAATACAAATTATTTTTGAAGGTTGTTTTTGTACTGTCATTTGTTTTTTAAATAGGCCAAATTAATTATGGGGCTACCCTCTCCCTCAGAGCTTACCGGCGGCGCGCCCAAGATTCTGAGGTGATGGTAGTCTCTCTTTTGAAATGTCGTTCATTATCCAAATTATTATTGTAGGTCATCTTTGCTTTGTCATTTGTTTTGAAATAGGCCAAATTATGGGGCTACCCTCTCCCTCGGAGCTTACAGGCGGCGCGCCCAAGATTCTGAGGTGATGGTAGTCTCTCCTTTAAAATGTTGGTCATTTATCCAAATTATTATTGTAGGTTATTTTTGTAGTGTCATTTGTTTTTGAAATAGGCCAAATTATGGGGCTACCCTCTCCCTCGGAGCTTACAGGCGGCGCGCCCAAGATTCTGAGGTGATGGTAGTCTCTCTTTTGAAATGTCGGTCATTATCCAAATTATTATTGTAGGTTATTTTTGTAGTGTCATTTGTTTTTGAAATAGGCCAAATTAATTATGGGGCTACCCTCTCCCTCAGAGCTTACAGGCGACGCGCCCAAGATTCTGAGGTGATGGTAGTCTCTCTTTTGAAATGTCGGTCATTATTCAAATTATTATTTTAGTTCTTCTTTGTACTGTCATTTGTTTTGAAATAGGTCAAAATATGGGGCTACCCTCTCCCTCAGAGCTTACAGGCGGCGCGCCCAAGATTCTGAGGTGATGGTAGTCTCTCTTTTGAAATGTCGGTCATTATTCAAATTATTATTTTAGTTCTTCTTTGTACTGTCATTTGTTTTGAAATAGGTCAAAATATGGGGCTACCCTCTCCCTCAGAGCTTACAGGCCGCGCGCCCAAGATTCTGAGGTGATGGTAGTCTCTCTTTTGAAATGTCGGTCATTATCCAAATTATTATTGTAGGTCATCTTTGTTTTGTCATTTGTTTTGAAATAGACCAAATTATGGGGCTACCCTCTCCCTCGGAGCTTACAGGCGGCGCGCCCAAGATTCTGAGGTGATGGTAGTCTCTCTTTTAAAATGTTGGTCATTTATCCAAATTATTATTGTAGGTTATTTTTGTAGTGTCATTTGTTTTTGAAATAGGCCAAATTATGGGGCTACCCTCTCCCTCAGAGCTTACAGGCGGCGCGCCCAAGATTCTGAGGTGATGGTAGTCTCTCTTTTGAAATGTCAGTCATTACTCAAATTATTATTTTAGTTCTTCTTTGTACTGTCATTTGTTTTGAAATAGGCCAAAATATGGGGCTACCCTCTCCCTCAGAGCTTACAGGCGGCGCGCCCAAGTTTCTGAGGTGATGGTAGTCTCTCTTTTGAAATGTCGGTCATTATCCAAATTATTATTGTAGGTTATTTTTATAGTGCCATTTGTTTTTTAAATAGGCCAAATTAATTATGGGGCTACCCTCTCCCTCAGAGCTTACAGGCGGCGCGCCCAAGATTCTGAGGTGATGGTAGTCTCTCTTTTGAAATGTCGGTCATTATCCAAATTATTATTGTAGGTCATCTTTGTTTTGTCATTTGTTTTGAAATAGGCCAAATTATGGGGCTACCCTCTCCCTCAGAGCTTACAGGCGGCGCGCCCAAGATTCTGAGGTGATGGTAGTCTCTCTTTTAAAATGTTGGTCATTTATCCAAATTATTATTGTAGGTTATTTTTGTAGTGTCATTTGTTTTTGAAATAGGCCAAATTATGGGGCTACCCTCTCCCTCAGAGCTTACAGGCGGCGCGCCCAAGATTCTGAGGTGATGGTAGTCTCTCTATTGAAATTATAATTGTAGGTTATTTTTGTAGTGTCATTTGTTTTTGAAATAGGCCAAATTAAGGGGCTTCCCTCTCCCTCAGAGCTTACAGGCGGCGCGCCCAAGATTCTGAGGTGAAGGTTGTCTCTCTTTTAAACTGTCAGTCGTCAACCATAGTATTATTGAATTTTCATTTTCCAGAGTTCATAGTGGTACCTTCTTTATAGTTTTACGTGATTTGTGACAAAGACAAGACCAGGCTAACAAATTTATTCTACTTTATGCGTGGTGCGACAATCACCGTGGTTGACTTGCCTCCAAAGTTCCTTTATAATTTGGACGCTTCTCAGGAGTTCCTTCACTGCTTGTAATCCAGAATTGGCGATTCTCAGCAGCTTAAAGCTCTTGCTTTTAATCAGTTGTTCCTTGGACGGCGACCTTTTCTTGTCCCGAGTACAATATCGATTCTCGATTCTCGACTCTCGATTACCGTATCTTGCTGGTGCAAGGTTTCGGCAACGGGACCCGTACTAAAACCATTGCAGGAATATCACTGCCAAACTGCGCAACAGAATGCACGAAAAACCTCTCCGGTAGTTGAAAAAAAAGAAAAAGAACCTGCGATGTAATTAGGTAACTTATTCATGGTGTTCAGCTTCCGGTTTATTCAGCTTATTGCCAGTTGTAGGCAAAGTTCACTCGCACATTATCGCATTCTAACTGGGTCGATTGTGAGGAAACTGTTATGTCAGTCATTGACTAAAAACCCCCGCGCGTTAAGCCTTTGTGCGACGGACGTCCCTTAGAAATATAAATTGCCCACACTGATCACCAATTCTACTTGCAAAGTGTTGCTGATTGAGTTCTGTAATGTATTCTAGAGTGTAAATTTAGTACTAACCTCGCAGACAAGGATGCAATGAGACATTAATTTTGCGTAGTTAGGCCTGCTATCCATTGGGCAACCATCCCTTTTATTTTCTTTCGATAGCCTGTCCATGCACTAACCTTTGGATACAGAAACTAGCTGCTTCTCGCTGTACCAAAACTTGATAGTTTTGGCGTTCAATATTTTTAACGGATGCTCACAAAACACCGGGACTGCATCGTGCGCCTTTGGCGCTTTGGTATCCTGCGAGCTTTGGTTCATCGCGTTTTGAAAGATGGAAATTTTGATATTCCCGCGAAAAAGAAGACCGATAAAACGCATCTTTCATTGACTACGGTGAAACGCCCGGAAATGAAGGATGTTTTGAAAGAAACGGGAAAACTGATAAAAGTAAATATTTGTTTTGATCAAGTGAAATTAATGAGAAATAACCATAAACTAGTTTTGTGTTTTTGTTTTTTAAAAGCGGTTTGTCTGGTACCAGATTTGTACAATTACTTTCAATCAAACATGGATCGGGTTTTGTTAATTATGACAGAATGTAATTAAAAAGCATTATGTTGACAGCTACAAGGCACATGCTTGCCTTAAGCTGCGAGTATCCCGCCATGTTTTAAACAAAGGGCCTCTGACCAAGCCGGCATTCTAATCCGCCACAAATATGTGAAGCACGCGTCTTTCAAAGTCGCCTAGTACTTAAAGGAGCTATGTCACGACCTGCGCATGTGCAGCGTTTTAGGCTGTTCTGCTGATTTTCTCAACTTTCCGCCATATTGGATTTAACAAACCTGGTCGGTTTTTGGCAGCAAACCTCTATTTTCTACATCTTTTGAGGACTTAAAGAGAAACTACAATACCATGTCAGTCTTTCGCCGTTTTAGTAAGCCATGGAGGCGCACGATTCTAGTCAGGTTAGTAATCGCTTCCTATCTATCGATAGATCGCCATGTCACAATGTCTCCAGTACGGAGATTTCCTGAGAGTTTTTCTTATTTTGGGCAACATTTAAGAATACTAGTCTTGACAAACTTGTCGTGTATGTTCTCTTTTGTAGCCGAATCGTATTTACTGCACATGCAAGAGCACTTGCTCGACAAAAAGAACAAGTACTGAAGTGTCATGTGGGCAGGACTGTAAATGTGGGTCTCAGTCAAAGCCGTGTCGAAACAAGGTAATCTGTTCTCGAAAGGTTGATAAAATGTTGGATCTATTGTTGATTTTTATACAAATTTCTTGAAAGAGGTGCAAATTTGCAATCTTTGGAGAGAAAACGTTTGTTGTTTTAGCAAAGGAAATGTGCTGTAATCCCCACGATTTGTCCTGCAGAATTATTATGAGGTCCTGTACTGTGTTAATATATTTTTGGATAAATGCTCACCGATTGTTTTTTTTGGTATGGCAGTATACCTTGTCAGTCTACATTTTAGTGTCACACTTCTCCTCTACAAATGTAGTCATTATACTGAACAAAAATATACACTATTGTTTGTTTTCCTGATATTTTACCTCTCTTTGACAGGACTGTATTCAAACTTTGGATGAGCCAATGGTGCACAAACTGTGTGTCAGAAGTCTACAATGTGGATTAGGGAGCATGGACTACATACATAGTCTGCTAATTATGGACGATGACAATGATAGTGACACTGAGAGTGAGCATTTTGATGTGTACAGAGAAACCCCACAGGAGTCTGAATCCACTGATAGCCAACATGCTTCAGCAGTTGCGGGACCAGCACCTAACCCTTCTGCTGCATCAAACTCACTTCCCTGGTGTAAGTGTAGTTTTTGTATTGTTGTGGTCAGAGAAGATGTGTTACAACATTTGCAAGGTTCAGCAAGCTTTGTCTCGACCCAGATGTGTTAGAAATCGAGCAGCAGCACAGTGATGATAACAGTACAAGGGCCTTCAGGAAGGCTGCATACAGGCAATTTATTCTTGATCGTTATGGACATCTAGGGAAGGGTAACAGAAAGGTCTGTCCTTCGTGTGTGGTCAAAACTGTGCACAGACATTATCCTTCGCAGACAGGTGTGTACATGGGGTACAGACCCGAATGAGACAACCACCATGGAACTGTGTTCTGCATCTCACGAGAGTAGCTAGACTTGTATTTCCCCAGTTTGTTCTTTCTCTAGTTCTTCAGAACTTTATTATATTATTTTGTTATTTCTAAGTCATGAATGGAGTCGGCAACCATCTTTTTCATGTTTCCATAACATATCCATTTCCACCCCAAGAAAGGTCAATAATAGGCTTATTTCATGTGGAGGGTGGTTGTAAAGGCCAAATTTTGAAAAGAGAGTAGGGGGAAAACCTAAAAACCTTCACTCAGGGGATTATAGATTATTTTTCTTGATCCACTCCTTTAGTTTGTTACAATGTTATGCTTTTATTGTAAGACATTTACATCATTTTGTGAAGTAAAGAAATCAAAGTGTTACATCAGCATGAATTTCAGACGATTGCTGAGAGGAGATGACTCGAAGTAATCGTCTGAAATTCAGGTTAAGTTATGATTTACAAAATTTGCAATCAACTTAGTTGTGGTTGTTTCATGAACTGATTTCAAAAATAACAATGCAATGAAATTGTTGTTAGAAAATGTCATCTACAATGGAGGTCAAAAGTGTTGGGACCTTTTCAGTGATATTAGTGAAACTAGCAAACCCTCTCCCCTCCCACCCCAAATAAAGTTGAATTTTGAGCAAATGGGTGGAATTGACTGCTTTATTTGGCCACAACAGTGCTGGGGTGGGGAGTGGGAGGATGACGGAATTAGCCCAAAGCTGATCAAAAAATTGTCATTAGGAGCAGAGTCCTATGTAACAGTTACTTGGAAGGGCTTTTTCACACAGTCCCAAGTTCTTTTCTCCTTCATTGTAGTTCTTTGTGCTATAATACAGTAGCCTGCAAAGAAAGTAGTGTCCCATAGCCCAGGGCCTATGGGTATGTCAAGTTTTTTGAGGAATTCACATGACAGAATAACAGTGTTAAATCAATTCTGCTCACCAAAAGTGTTGGGGCTAGTTGAAATGACATCTGGGCTACTAAATGCTACCTTCAGCTTCCCCGAAGCTGTGAAACTGACTTTCTTTGCACTCTGTACATGTACGTAAAGTATGCAAACATTATTTGTACCATTTTATTTCGTACATCTAAACTTGTTGGTGTTAATAAGGACTGTTAAGTCAGTGACTGACTTAAACATCTGTAGTGGCCGAGCCACTCAGGCTATCCTCGGTGCAAAATTGCAATCACATAATCATTCATTTTAACATACCCCCCAAAACAAAAGAAAAATTAATAACCTTTCAACTTATAAATAAACATGAACAAATTACCCATTATCAGCAATTACAGCAAAGTGAGCAAGACGATTGAAAAAGACACATTTCAGCCTTTAGGGCAATATCCTACTGATGCAAAGTTCCAACTTAGTTTTAGATATTTTGAGCAACAACAATTTTCCGTCTGTCCTCTTTGAATTTTTATTACTACTTGAGGAATTCTCTGAATGATCTTCAGTACCAGATTGAAATCTGCTCTTACGTGCCATAAAAAGTTCCTTTGAAGGGGGTGCCTGTTTTTCAGCGATGGTGAGAGCCAGCAAAGCAGGGTCGCTTTCATTCAAAGACAGCCGCCTCGTAACACTATCAGTATCTTCTTTTCTCATGTTAAAAATCTTCACCATCATCACTGGAATGTACTCAAACTTTTTCTTGACTGTGATAATTTTCACGTCCCAATCATTTGTTCGCTGATTGTACTTTCTGGTTACTATCTGCTGTCCTGCTTTTGTTGTTGCTGCTTCAAGGTTCATATGGAAATTCCAATAAATGGCTGCAAGCTGTTTGCATGCTTTGTGAACTTTGTTACTGTAACACAAGTATGATAACAAAAAGATTACTATTCACAGTCCCTTTATTATTTTTGTTTCATAATCTGCATTGTAAAATCAGTCTCAATAAAAGTCATTTCAAATTTTGGAAATTCTTCCCTTTATTGCTGAGTAGTAAGTGCAGCTGAATCCCAATCTGGTAGGTTAGGTTCTAGACTTGATCTTACCAGTCACTGGTTTTGAACCATAAAACTGCCACGCTTTAATAGCTAGCTGGTTGCAGCATGCCAGGTGGGATTCTTTCTTGTCATGTTTACATGTACATTGTCTATATATTATTATTAGTTCAACTGGATCAAAAAGGTCTCGCATGACATTTGACGAAGTGTCAAATTTTCCTCGTTTCACAGGCGTTAACATAATAAACAAACCTGTAAGAGCATCGTTTTGAAGTATAAACCAGTGAAAGGCTGTTGGCACACTTGAGTTTACCTGTGTGTCTGCAATCAAAGGTAAAAGAACCACTAACCATGAAAAATTTATTGTAATATAATGCATGCAAGGCATTATTGCCATGGAAATGAATGGAAATGCTACTAGGATTAGCATGCAGTCTCCTTTTTAATGACCAATTTCTATTCTCCAAGTAACTGCAAAGAACTGTGATACATTGTATGACTCAATAAAAGTCTCCAGAGACACCACAGGAACTGCAATAAATTATGAAAAACTGGAAAAACAATGTGCATTATCTTGGATGACTCTGGTCAATGCTTAATTAAAAATTGATCAATAAATGAATCAATCAAAAAATTTATCAATCAATGAATATATTAAAAATTAAAAATTAAAAATATTAAAAATTAAAATTAAAAAAAAAATTGAATATCAACATGCCAAGAACTGGTTTTATTTAGTTGGTAGTAATATGCTAAGTAAATAAGCTCCCACATCTTGAGAGCTAAAGATTAGACATAAGGGTTGCCTCTCAGCCAGTGTCACATTTATTGGCAAGAATGTTGTCTCAATAACTAATAATTTCTCAGGAAAAACAATTATTACCAAGATTTGGTATTTTACCTGAATCGCACATAATATTTAAAACTGTTAAGAAGCTTTGGTTCCAGGATAATTTTCTGGAGGGCCGCAAAATAATAGTAATGTGAAGACATTTATTCAATCTAGAATCAAGTACAGCTGCAGTCTCACCTTCAATGTGGCTTCGTTTTGAGGAAGGAACTGGTTTGTGGATGATGCATGCCTCTCTCTCTCCGTTTTTACAAACGGTAGATGCACTATCCCTGTAAAAGAAAATAGATACATACATTCAAAACAACTGATTAACTCAAAATAAGACCGCCAGCAAACAGATTGAACAGACATTTTATGCATTTACCTTCTTCTTGTCTCGAGCGATAGAAGATGGGCAGCAAACATGGAATCGTTGTCGTATCCGCACTTGATCCTCGTAGAAACCCAAGATTAGAAAAGTGTTCCATCCAACGAAATCCTTTTACGAGTCTTACGCCAGAACTGAAGCCTCGCTGAGTTGCTAGCGAAGATTTTCTTGCGGCCGCTTCCTGATCGGCGACCGCCATGAGAGGACATTTGTTGCCTCCAAACAGTTGACCTCAAATAAGCCGTTGATCAGAGTCATTGAAACAAAAACACACAGGAACCTTCTAAAAGGGCTGTACAATAGTAACTAACGTTTAACTATGCGAACTGTTAACGGATGGCTGCGATAAATAACGATAAACTCCTGATATTGAATCACCCGCAGAACTTGAAAAAGTTGGCGAACGTTTTCAAGATGTAACGCTTCATCGCGCACATGCGCAGTGTGTGACATAGCTCCTTTAAAATCGGCGCTCTGGCCTGTTATGCTCATATTTCGATCTTGACAGTCTTGAGCTACCCCTACGATGGAAGTCCCGCAGTTTGCGAGCACAATCTATCAAAGCCAAGAGAGAATATCTCATTCTCTGTTGTCAAAGCCTACTCCTGATAAGATAAAATTTTTTAAGAAGACACAAGAACATAACAAAACACTTAAAAAACAAAAGAACTGTAAACAGTTTTATAATTTTCTCAGTCTTCTCCAGAAAGCGCCCATGTAGCTTGGGTACGAGAGAAAGGGCCATCTTCGGTACTCATACCTTGGCTCCTACCAGATGAAGGTCAAAATAATGCAACGTGGTCCTGCATGTGGAAAGTTGGAAGTTGAACGAATGTTCGTGTTTTGATACGAATAGTAGTGAAAATGTAAATTCTCAGTGTTTTTTTCGCCTATTTGAAACCCTATGAGAATTTTATTAAAAATGTTCTTGACCTCGTAAACACTGCCTTTTTTCACTCCGGTGAGGAGAAAATCGCGTTTCTTTTAGCTCCATGTGCAATGTGAAGTCGACGACGACCATTTTTTGGATGCGTTTTCATGGCCGATAATTTGCTACAAGGGCTTCAGGCGGCTGCAAATGCGACATCACAGGCAGGGGTGAGTTTCTTGCTAACCATTTTTCTTCTGAACGGTTCGGTTGGCGTTCGAACATCATATAGCAATGCAATCGTGTACAGATTATATATTGTCATTAACATTATTCTTATTAATTTTTTTGGCCAATAACGATAGGCCCTGCAATATTTTGAACAGCTAAAGAATTCCCCAGACGGCTGGAAGCTATGTGGTGATGCCCTAATTCGAAATCTTTACAGGTAATTGAATTTTGATCTTGAAGTTGTGTTACCTTGGTATTAAGTCGTTAACGTTTTGGGCCTCATTGAGCATTATTTCAGAACTTGATTAAAAAGATGCATTGTTTGATATAATTTATATTCATTTTATGTTATCATTCATCAGGGGCACCCAACGACAATTTTCGGAAAAATATCTGTTCGGAAGACGATTTGAGAACTAGAATTTTCGGAACATTTGTTGTAAAATTTCTTCCTTGCCTGCTTCTCCTAGGATTTTCGAACTTCTAAAAAATGGTATAATTGCCTATTTTTAACGGATTTTTACCCTAAAAAGGTCACCTAGAATTTTCGGGAGCCTTTCTTCTGGCTAAAATTTTCGAAAAGGTAAGTTTTGATCCCTATAATTTTCGGATCACTAGACTTTCAGCTAGGAAATCCGAACAGATGAAAAATTTCTAGGGGATAAAAATATGCCTATATCTACCGTTTAAATACCAAAATACGTTTAACAATGCCATGTTTAAGTGATTTTGAACTATATTCTCGTTGGGTGCCCTTGATTCATAATTCATATGCATCCATATAGTACATTGTCATTCATTCAAAATATTTTCTCTATTTGTGATTGACCACATTTGGATAGTCTGGAACCAGCGCCGCAGTGGGGGAAAAGGGCAAAGAACAGGGTCAACAAGGAAAAATGCGGTGGGCTGGAGGGGGGGGGGGGGATGCAGCAGAACCTAGAGACATGCCTTTGATGCTGCCATTCTGTGATACCATTCTGGTGTCAAATGTCTTCATGTTGACAGATTCTCAGTGCTGTGGACAGTATTGCGCTCTTTCAATATCATGCTCATACAATTTGAAAAAGATTTTAAAATATGAATGAGGGTGGATTGGCGGCATCAACGCATTTCTCCAGGCTCCACCTTTTCTCCTCCCCAGACTACCTCTTGGCCTGCTTTGCTTCGCTATAGCGAAGACCCCACTATACAGCCTGTAACCAAGAATTTTTTGGGTACCATGGCACTTCGTTATAGCGGGGTTCCATCAAAATCCTGCAAACAAGCTATGTAAATGACGCAGCTCAGGGCTTGTAATATTTTGCATGGTCGTGAAGCCATGAAGTTCAGGTAAATCAGTAAAACTCACAAGAGCATGCAAAATACTGCAAAATTTGGTAGAAATCTTATGAGATATGTGTCTGTACAACATATTTGAAATTTATCTCAGCAAATTTATCTTGAAACTTCGCCACTTAAACATGCAAACAAAGTCCTGAAACTACCAGACGTAGATTATGTTGCGAAAAACTGGGCACTAGCCATGACGTTAAAGGCTTTGCCATTGGTTCATTTCTGGAGCGTATTGTTGTTGAAAGAGTAAATGATGACCTCTGTTTGAAAAACGTTGAAAATGCAGGTCTGATCAGCCAATCAATTTCTAGCGAATTTTCCCTAAAAATAACCACAAAATTGGCCATTTTTTACCAATTGCTTTTTAGGCGAAGTTTGTCGCCAAAAATTCCCAGGAAATTGGCCAATTTTTCTGGGAATTTGTCCCTAAAAATCCTGCAAAATTTGACTTATTTTTCACGACCTATGACAAGCCCATATATAATGGCGCGAATTGCGCAATTGATCAGATTTGAAAATATCATCGATAGAAGTCGGTATATATTTGGAGATAAACTGGCTTTGTTTATGCGATTTGGCACATTTTTTATGATGTAAGCAAAGCAAGATAATATGAAATGTTTGTTTTAACTTTACTCTTTTAATAATTTAAATCTAAAACTTAGAGAAATCTGGTTGCCACTTTGGTAACTAAGCCAAAACTTTTAGTCGCCAAGGAGACAATGTTAGTTGCATTGGCGACCTTATCACTTGCGATTTCAAGCCCTGATGTGTCATAGAGTTTTTATAGTGGGGTTTCACTGTACATGCAAAAAGGCAAGACATCAACATCCCACAAACAAGCCAGGGCTGGGGTGAAAACAAGAATTGGGACAAGTGGGATTTCAATTTGACTTGCAGAATGCTCCAAATCTTCTTGTGGCTCCAACACCAAAAACAACAGCAATCACCTGCTTGTCTTGTCAGCTACACAGGCTAATCAGCTATGTAGCTGGAAATGTCATAAAGTGTGTTGCAGTTATTGAAAAAGTTAATTATTTGAAAAACTGTGGATGTGTTTTTACCTATGTATATACCTGGTTGATACAGTTGAGGCTCTGGACTGTACACTCCTCTTAAGTAGACAGCTCTTCTTTCAGCTTATGTCAGTTTTTTCACATACCTGGCGTTACGCTTCAAAACACCAGTTGAATTTTATGCTTGTGCCTGAATTACAGCATTGTCAGAGCAACTGTATCAAACAGTTTTTTTCTTAGTATCCTGGTATTTATTCATTACAGAAATGCACCCATTGATAATTAACGATCATGAAAAATGACATAGTGAGAGTGTCAATCAAGAAATCCCCTGTGTATATCCTTTTCCTGATTATTGTTCTTGCTAGAAATACCACAAAATAATTTGACTAAAACTTCATGCAACTAACAATACTTCAGTCTATCTGTCTAAATTTAATCCAAATAAGGACATGTAATTTAAACCCTTTAAAATTGATTACAACACTTAAAATAATGGTAACATACCAGTTTGTATTGTTTCTGCATTGTTTCTGGAAAGTGTGGGAATTGTCAATCACTATAAAGTTCATAAGAGACCGAAAATGGCTTTATGGGTACCCCACTTTTCACATTTGACATTTATCCATGGATGCCAAACTGTAATGTTGTAGCTGAGTAAGCTCCCATAAGCTGCCAATGATATAACCCTTTCACCTCTAGTGGCTGCAGACGAGAACCATTCTTGTAAGTGATCAGCTTCAGTTATGGACACATTTCTCTCATCTCAAGGGTGCCTGCACTCACATGAGCATCTATTCTAGTACATGTACATAGATAGCTCCAGTATCACATCAACTGTCTTGTGTATGGGTGTGATATAAGAACATTTCATCTGCCTTTAGCCTCCCAAGGCAGACGTTCTTATTGGTTTCTTTTGTGTTGTTGTTTTAGTGATGAAAGTGTCAAGTTCTTTTGCTTTACAATACAATACAATACAATACAATGTTCTTTATTTTGAGAGGGTAGATATACATGATTAACCCAGTTAAGAGTTTTCTAACACATGGCCCTCTAAAACTAAAAGAAATATATACAAATAAATTTCAAAAATACACACATACAATAATTAATTGAATGTAACATTTAAAATGAAATTAAAATTAACACAATATAAAAGTTTAATTAACATAGTTACAAACAATATATCGCAGCAAACTTGGACGATTAGGAGAAATAGCAATTGCAGTAAAGCAGGAAACGGCATGCAAAACAGCAAAGTTCTTCGAGATGGGCAACGGAATTGAGTTTTTGAATGAAATGCTTTCAAGTATTAGAGCATCACATAAAAACAAGGTAAAATTAAACATTGATAATTTCTAATTATAATGATTAATAAGAAGTTTTACATAATAATTATTATAATGTGGCATCCATTTTAAAATTAAATCTTCCTTCCATGGAAAAATCAAAAAGGTTTTATTTTGTCGGTTGATCGGCCATTTTAAATTTTTGTCCACCATATTATTCTGAATAACTCTTATTAAAAGATGTTATCAGAAAATTTAATTTTTAAATATTTACTCACTTGGTATGATATTATGTAGGCTATCAATTGGGTTTAATTGTTTCTTACCAGGAATGACTTATAAACATTTGATCGCTAGCTGTATTCAGTATACACATGCTTCTGAAAATTAATAAGTCTCCTGTCCCGTACAAGACATCTTGGATGATCTTGTCTCAGTGTCTGATCCTGCCCAAAAAATGGCTATGTTTTTTTATTTTTTATTTTGTGCACAGACATGTGTCATCAAATCTTGTAGATCAACAAGCACTCAGAGAGATTCTTTTGACCTGGCTACGAAATCAGGTACACTAGGATAATTATTTTACTCTACAGTAGAATCCCAAGGAACATTTTCTCTTTTTTTGCCACTCACCCTTGATTGTAATGTCTATCTTTAGGTGAAAAAGGATGTCTTGCTAATATCTTTGACGTATTATTATGGTCTAGACTCTCTCTTTGTCTTTCATCAAAATTGAAACAACATTTTTTATGTCAAAAGGTAGAGCAAAATTGTCAAACGTTGTTTTTTATAGTTGTGCAAAGATACCTAAAAGTGGACATAAGTGCATTAATGGTTTGCAAAGCCATGAGAGTCTTCCTAGCACCTTTGTTCTTTGAATTCTTATACCTACACTGTAGCGGTAATTGCAACATTTTCACTGCGATTTTTCATTGACCCTTGTTGTATTAAACTTTTCAGTGTTGTACCGAGTCAGATAACAAGAATTTCTTGAAGAACAAGGCAGCACAAGTCTTAAGCTTGATCTTTGTCTGTGATTATCCTGAGAAGGTTAGCTGAGTTATTGTTATTTCAAGTGTGATGAGTGTGAATACTGATAGATACCCTAAATTGTAACTTGTGCCCAGATTTCATTCAGTGTGAGAGAACTTCATTTAATTTCCTGCCTCTTTCACAAGCTGCCTTTAGACAGTGTTATGACCTCATGGCTGGTAAACTCATGCCTTCCAGCTATGAGCCCCCACACCAATGGAACCAGGCACCTGTCCCAATGATTTATCAGAGAAAAATTAAAGGGAGCCCTTGTAAAAATTTATTAGCGATCGCTGTCAAAATCGCGTAGCGTTTTTGGCCGGATTTCGCGGCGCGATCGCTGCGTTATTCGCGGAGCGATGGGAGCGATCGCGGCGCGATCGCTGTCATCAATCGCTTAGCGTTTTTGGCCGGATTTCGCGGCGCGATGAGAGCGATCGCTGAGCGATCGCTGTCGTCGATCGCTTAGCGTTTTTGGCCGGATTTCGCGGCGCGATGAGAGCGATCGCTCAGCGATCGCTCACCGCATCAATCGCTTAGCGTTTTTGGCCGGATTTCGCGGCGCGATGAGAGCGATCGCTGTCATCAATCGCTTAGCGTTTTTGGCCGGATTTCGCGGCGCGATGAGAGCGATCGCGCCGCGATCGCTGTCATTAATCGCTTAGCGTTTTTGGCCGAATTTCGCGGCGCGATGAGAGCGATCGCTGAGCGATCGCTGTCGTCGATCGCTTAGCGTTTTTGGCCGGATTTCGCGGCGCGATGAGAGCGATCGCTCAGCGATCGCTCACCGCATCAATCGCTTAGCGTTTTTGGCCGGATTTCGCGGCGCGATGAGAGCGATCGCTGTCATCAATCGCTTAGCGTTTTTGGCCGGATTTCGCGGCGCGATGAGAGCGATCGCGCCGCGATCGCTGTCATTAATCGCTTAGCGTTTTTGGCCGAATTTCGCGGCGAGATGGCAGTGATCGCTCAGCGATCGCTGTTGTCGATCGCTTAGCGTTTTTGGCCGAAGTTCGCGGCGCGATTGGAGCGATCGCGCCGCAATCGCTGTCATTGATCGCAGATGGTTTTCGGCCGAATTTCTCGTTGCAATCACGGTCCGGACGAAAAAGACATAAATGAGTATTTCTTATCTCAGAAGAAGAGCAGTGAGCTGAAATTTGTCCTGAAAGTTGCAGTAACATTTTACTAACTTGTGACAAACGGAGAGCTTCTGAGCTTTGCCGAAAATCGTGCATCATAGAAAATGACCGCTCCGTTTGAAAGCCCCTGGTCCGGCCAGTGGTTCCGGCCACTTTGGCTACTTTAATTGGAAGCCGACATCAAAAGTGCGTAAAAAGAAACCTTCCAAGCACCATCTGATCTAAATTCCTGTATAATTTTTATAGGCTGCTCACTTAAAATTCGAAACCAAACTGAGATTTCTGTGTAAAGAGCTAACGTTTGGTCTCTCGAAGAAACTAAACCGTGAAAAGGTCAATTCGCCACCATTTTAAATGAATTCAGTCAAAGTTTAGAGGGAAAAAATATTTGTCGTCGCTTGTTTACGTCCTCAAGAAACACCTCCCATCACCAAAATGTTGTCTAAGTCATGCCGCGACCGAAAAGCGTGCGTCATGCACGTGCAGGACGTGCAGAGTAATATTTTCCGTGTTAGGCCCATTGCTTGCCAAGTTTTTTGACTTTGCTAAATGCTACAGCTCCCAAATGAAATATAAGTTTCATTTTATGGCCTTCTATATCACTGCTTAATAAATAAAGTGCAGTGTTACTGGGAAATTTTCAAACAGGCTTTCCCTTTTCAATCACTATTTGGCTAGTTTGGCCGGACCAAGGACATAGTACGCAAAATTTATTTTGAAATATTATCTAAACTTTGGTTTTAAAATTCAACCAGTCCACCGAATTTTTTTTTTTTTGCAAGTCGAAAGAACATTTCTTGTACGCCGTGTACACCAAAAATTAGCTTTCTTAACACTTAATTGCATACCTGAACTAAAAATGCATCCAAGTAATTTAAGGCGCCATAAAAAAGCAAAAATAACAGAACAAAATTCACCTACGACAATCGAGCTTCAGAAGGCAAACAGATCAATAAAAAATCGGAAAGTTTCGTTTGTAGTTTAACCTTATTTTCTTCCGAAAATTACGTACATCACAAATTATAACGGGCCGGAACTTATCCGAACTTATCCGAACTTATCTAGGAAAGATCGAAGCTACTCAGTCTGCAAGCAGGGTAGTATAAATCATGTCAAGATAAAGCTAAATTTTCAACTTAAACGGGTCTAAATAGGGAATGAATTTTCAAAAGAAAGGTCTTATGTGAGAGTTCAGTGAATCGTGTTTTTTATTCTTAGCTAAGTGTGAGCAGAGTAAAACGTTTTATATCCTGAAGTATTGAGATAATGAAACCGCCTATATGCATTGATTTCTTTTCTTTTGATCCACTTGTCCATGTCTTCAGATAGGTTCATCCTATTAGGGATAAAAATATTTTTTCTTTTTTCCTCACGCTAATGATATGTTTCATGTTCATTTACCGTGCTTAAATATTCTGACTGAAATTCTCCATACTTCTTTATTAAGCCAATTTAATGTGACGTCCCACATTTTTTGTCTTCAGCCTAAACGTTACCTTTGAAATTTACATAATGTACAAACTGAGTACTCACAACTGTTGTCTTTGCCTGATTAATTGTTGCTGCAGAATATTCAAGAGGCCATCATGGCTCTTGGTATATTGCCATGTTTATGCCCCACAGTACGTCCAGAGCGGTTTTCCTGTTGAGAAATTAAAACCAGTTAACCAAGAGAGTTATTCCCGAAATCAGAGTATTGAAATATTCAAATCAAGACAAATCACTGAGTTGTGAAGCTCAAGTAGCTTAAGACTTACACCCCCCGAAGGATATAAAAAAATGAGCTAAAAAACGAAGGCTCCAAAATCAGAAGTTTTGCTTTCTCGAACTATTAAAAGGTAGCTCGAATTTTTTAGCTTTTGTTTGTTTGAGAAGCCTAATAAAAAAGGCTAACCTTAATTGTGTTATAAACTATGAAAAGTGCCGGAAAGTATAAAATCGACAACACCGAATGAATATCAAGCTTAACCCTAATTAGATTTAAAATTAAACTTAGTGATAATAAGAAGTGAGTAGACTTACCTTTTTGAGTACGTTTCTTTGTTTGAACTTTCAACATGTCAAAAGAATCATTAAGAAAAATTTTTCAATGTTTAAACAGCAATAAACGGCCATTGCCAATTGCATGACAAGTGAAATTGAGAGCAATTTTACGGAAGCCTGTAAGGGACATTCGAGATGCGAGATAAAAATGCGAGATGCGAGATAAAAATGCGAGATAAAAATGCGAGATAAAAAAATGCGAGATAAAAATGCGAGATAAAAAAATGCGAGATAAAAATGCGAGATAAAAAAAATGCGAGATAAAAATGCGAGATAAAAATGCGAGATAAAAAATGCGAGATAAAAATGCGAGATAAAAAAATGCGAGATAAAAATGCGAGATAAAAAAAATGCGAGATAAAAATGCGAGATAAAAATGCGAGATAAAAAAATGCGAGATAAAAATGCGAGATAAAAAAAATGCGAGATAAAAAATGCGAGATAAAAAATGCGAGATAAAAATACGAGATAAAAAAATACGAGATAAAAATGCGAGATAAAAATGCGAGATAAAAAATGCGAGATAAAAAAATGCGAGATAAAAAATGCGAGATAAAGGTGAAAGGTGTTGACAGGCCAAACACGACTCATAAGCTCGTGATAGTGTGATACGTGACCTTATAGTTTTGCTCTAACGAGGATATCTCCCAGCGATTTTGCTCTTTTATATGAAATGATGGGAGGCTCGTTGTATATTTCTCTCAGTAGTGGTTGATCTTGAATTAAGTGCCATTTGCTCATTAAAATGTTTTTAAGGTTCGGCAAAGCAGGGTGGTATGTGGTAACGAAAGGCAGAATTTTCTTTCGCACTTCATTGTTCTTTTGTAAAGCTGACTTCCGTTCGGTAAATTTAACCTCAGAGGTGATTTTTTCTATGAGATTGTGAGGGTAACCTCTAGCGCGAAGGCGTTTTTTGAAGTTGTAGATGTTCTCATAGAAGGATTTAGCTGAGGAGTTAGTTCTCAGAAGTCTAAGGGCTTCGCCCTTTATGAGACCTTTTCTGACCCCGTGGGGGTTACAGGAAGAGAAATGCGTGTATTGAAAAGTCTCTGTAGGTTTAAAATGTGTGCGGATGTCAAGGATTCCTTGGTTGTGAAATCTCTCGCCTTTTCCAAAAAGTGAAACAAATAGTCGGCAGGGGCAACTTTCCAAAAAGTGAAACAAATAGTCGAAGAACTACATCAGGGAAGTTTTATTGACGAAATGACTGTTAAATGGTTATCACAGACACCTAACCCACCCAGAATACCTGTCTTCTACACTCTCACAAAGATTCATAAGCCAACTCCTGTTGGCCGTCCTATAGTGGCAGGAAACGACGGACCCACCGAGCGAATATCATCATTCGTTGACAGCCTACTTCAGCCTATAGCTAAGTCACAAAAGTCCTATCTTAAGGACACAACTGACTTTATTAACTTCATAGAAAGGAGAAACCTCTCAGGGGACGTTTTCCTAGTCTCCTTAGACGTTACTAGCCTGTACACAAATATCCCACAGGAAGAGGGAATAAACACAGTATGCAAAGCATACCAGACTTTCTACGGGAAAAACACCCCCATCCCCACACAATCCCTCAGAAGAATCCTTAAACTTATTCTTCAAGAGAACTCGTTTGAATTCAACGGCAAAAACTATCTCCAAACACACGGAACCGCAATGGGTACAAAGATGGCAGACGCCTTTGCCAACATCTTTATGTCGGTGGTACAGACAGAAATACTGAACTTCAGCAAAACTAAACCTGTTGAGCGGAAAAGATACATTGACGATATTTTCTCATTGTGGAAAACTGATAGAAAGGAGATAGATGAATTCATTGCTCTTGCAAACAGGCATCACCTTTCAATTAAATTTACGGCTGAAATATCTGATAAAGAGATTAACTTTCTGGATACAACTGTTTACAAAGGCGAGAGATTTCACAACCAAGGAATCCTTGACATCCGCACACATTTTAAACCTACAGAGACTTTTCAATACACGCATTTCTCTTCCTGTAACCCCCACGGGGTCAGAAAAGGTCTCATAAAGGGCGAAGCCCTTAGACTTCTGAGAACTAACTCCTCAGCTAAATCCTTCTATGAGAACATCTACAACTTCAAAAAACGCCTTCGCGCTAGAGGTTACCCTCACAATCTCATAGAAAAAATCACCTCTGAGGTTAAATTTACCGAACGGAAGTTAGCTTTACAAAAGAACAATGAAGTGCGAAAGAAAATTCTGCCTTTCGTTACCACGTACCACCCTGCTTTGCCGAACCTTAAAAACATTTTAATGAGCAAATGGCACTTAATTCAAGATCAACCACTACTGAGAGAAATATACAACGAGCCTCCCATCATTTCATATAAAAGAGCAAAATCGCTGGGAGATATCCTCGTTAGAGCAAAACTATAAGGTCACGTATCACACTATCACGAGCTTATGAGTCGTGTTTGGCCTGTCAACACCTTTCACCTTTATCTCGCATTTTTTATCTCGCATTTTTTTATCTCGCATTTTTTATCTCGCATTTTTATCTCGCATTTTTTTATCTCGCATTTTTATCTCGCATTTTTATCTCGTATTTTTTTATCTCGTATTTTTATCTCGCATTTTTTATCTCGCATTTTTTTTATCTCGCATTTTTATCTCGCATTTTTTTATCTCGCATTTTTATCTCGCATTTTTATCTCGCATTTTTTTTATCTCGCATTTTTATCTCGCATTTTTTTATCTCGCATTTTTATCTCGCATTTTTTATCTCGCATTTTTATCTCGCATTTTTATCTCGCATTTTTTTTATCTCGCATTTTTATCTCGCATTTTTTTATCTCGCATTTTTATCTCGCATTTTTATCTCGCATTTTTTTATCTCGCATTTTTATCTCGCATTTTTATCTCGCATCTCGCATTTTTATCTCGCATCTCGAATGTCCCTTACAGGCTTCCGTAAATGTCCCTTACAGGCTTCCGTACAATTTTCTTTTTCAAGGTACGCGTCAGCCTCAGGCGGTGTGCGTCACGAGATTCGACCAATCAGAATGCGTCATTTGTAGAGTGATTCTCGTGCTCGGAAAGAGCCGTTTTCAGAGGTATATGTGGTGAAATTTTCGCTTTATTCCAAGCTTGTGTTGGTAATGTCGACGCTATACCGCCGTGGAAAGTTGTTGGAACACTTTATCTTGATAGCAGTTGCGTTACTTTTAAATATTTTGCTTTCTTGAGCGTTTGTGACAAGTTTGAATTGCTCAGTTATGTGCAGGCCGCCATGATGATTTGAGTGTTGTTTTTGCCGTTCTTCTTGGATTTATTGCTGGTTACCGTTAGCGGTTTTATCGAATTATTTTGGCCATCTTGTTACTTCAACCTTTCTTCTTTGCAAATTTCGGGGTCTACCCGGGTCTACCCCTGTTAGTTTTCCCGTTATGAGCCGTTGAAAGTGTCTTGGAATTAAGACATCGTCTTAGCCAAGTGGCACAACTCCCGGGAAACTGGCTGAGAAAACATGCCGAAGCGAAAGCCGACGTGAAGCGAGTAACGCCAAATCCAGGAAGAGTTTGTGCTATTTTAAACCACAAAAGGTAAATAAGTTTGAATATTGTAATAACCTTTGAAAAAAAAAACATTTTTCATAACCCAGTGCGGAAACTGAAAGCGTGACTTAAAGTAATTTGCATGCGGTGTGTGCTATGTGTATGCAAATCTTTGTGCAAACTTATGTAAGGGAATAAATTGTTATAAATCTCTACCAAAACACAAAACCATTATCGAAGATCGAGACAACATCATAAAGGATTTTAAAACTGTGAGGTTAGGTTTTACTTTATAACAAAATCGATATACTGCGCTCACTTCAATGACCGCACAGACAAGATCGTGGTTTATTTCACTGTTTATTTCCGCGACTGTAGCTTCGGTGAAATTCCGATTGTGCCGCAGCTGTTCGGCTCTTTCGGTCTGTTTTCCCCTTGCCTCATAGAAGATTTATTTGCGCATAAGGATTTCAAACGGGCACTGTTTCCAAAAGAGTATAAACTTGTCGATGAAAATAAAATTGTTATGAGAGACGATTTCTCACCTTGCTGTTTGCACGCGCTCCCCCTAGCTGCTTTGCCGGTAACATAGTCCATCAAATATATAAACACTTCTAATGGACGAATTTTTTTTTAGTTAAGCAAATCCAGGTATGAACTACAGATCTCTTTCACCATGAGATAAATACATACATATAAACCAAACAGTACATAAAATCTTATGAGAAGGCGGAAATTAGTCGCCGCTCAAAGTCGGCTAGATCGCACGATCGTCTCCGAATCGCGATAAACTTCTTGAAATTGTCTTGTGAAGCCAATAGCAAGCATCTAAGGCCACTATGAGATCTTGAAAATTCTCGAAATCGCTCTCTTCTGTAATGTTTTTCGGAAAAGGCAGCAGTGTTTTGATCCCTGGGTTTGATTCATTTCTCTTACGAGATGCGAACTCGACCGTGTCACGATTGAAATGAGGCACAGTAACAGTTTTACCCATGAACCTTTGTGGGTCGTGACGCACACCGCCTGCGTCAGCCTTGAATCTTGGCCACCCGCGTCGCAGTGGCGGGAAATCGGATTTTGGAATCCAGTCCCCAAGGGCGCGATCCATTCAACCAAAATTTCCGGAATATTTCGGTCCAAAACTCTGGATAGGTTCGGTCCAACCGGAAAAGTTTCGAAAAAACGGGTCCACCTTTTTAGGTGGACCAATTTTCCCGGTCGGCCCGGTTGGAATGTTGGTTGAATGGATCGCACCCCAATACTCTGGATTAAACCGTCACGTACATGCAGGATTCATTTCTGTTATCAAGGACCATTAAGTAAAAATCATGTTGATTACATCCTTATATACAACAGCTTAAGGCCTGGAGCGTAACAGAAATTCATCCTTGGGCTTAAAATGACTCAATTAGAGGTGAGCGAGAAAAGGTTTCCTAGCTTTTTGCTAATGTAACTCTGGTCAAAAACACAAGGAAAACCGTGCCTTCTCTAGAAACCGATAAAGTTCTAACAAACTGAAAATGACTGTTATTATAAGCTTATAGTTTTTCCGAATGTTCGACCTCCCGATATTGATATATTTCTGTAGTCTTTTAGTTACTTAACTTTCCAGTGTTTTATTATAATATTATTACTATTTTGCCTGCCCTAATAATTTTCACAATCGCAAGTTTTGAAGAACAACATAATGGAATATAAAAATAAAATAATATGCCCGGCAGCCGGGAAGGGTCTAAGCTGCACGGCAGTCAGAATGTTTTTTTGATTATCTTCAAAATCTTTTTTTCTAAATATAATCGTTTGAAAGTATCATATCTTCGTTTAGAATTACCAAGGGATTAGGAAAACAGGAATGGCTTAGCAGTAGAGCGGTTGTGGTTTCTTGGGCATAGAGCCTGAGAGTCGACGCCGTTTCGACACTTAGAAACATTCGAGACTCGCGAGTACGTTTTCGCACAGGCTAAATATCCAGCAGTTTGAAAGCCATCTGGAAAGTTGGAAAGCCTGTTAGTAAGCCAAAGGATGCATACTAGCCTCGATTAGTTTTCCAAAGCAATAACGAGAATATTAAGTGCTTTCATTAAGAAACCTTAGAGTCAATGCACTGTGTGAATCAACTAACGTGTGGGAAAAAAGGGTGCAAAGGCAAACGCAGTGCGAATTACGGCCCATAACAAACGGGAAAGGCGGTCCCTGATAACACCAAATTAAATATAGCCTGTTATAAAAAAAAAACTAACGAGTCACGAACGATAAGGAATAACAAGACGAGCTATTAACCAGACTAAAAGGGGCGTAAAAGACGTGAGAGCTCAAACAGAATAATAACCATACGACTAACTTATAACAGAAATCGCGACGATAACTGTGATCCTCGGTTATCTCCTTCGCGATAATGGCACTGAGATTGCGGACGCGAACTTAATTAGAATTGATCGTGATCACCACCTGGCGATCGCGATTACTGCACCACGATCGAGAGCAATATGGCACTCGACGATCGCCGATTACAACTTAACTAAATCGCACCGCGATCGCAATCACCGCTTCGCAGTAAGTACAATGCCCCTGCGATCGCGATTACCAAACCGGGATCGTAGTCCTGACATATAAATCACGGATTTGACTTTACTAAATCAAGCCGCGATCGTGATCATCACGCCGCGATAAGTACAATGTCGCTGCCATCGCGGATACTATTTTTCAAAATCGCACGACCCCATCAGCTGCTTAGCGTTTAATATCATCGAGCTAAAATAAAAACTGTCTGTCTTCGCGATCGCGATCATCTTCCTGCGATCACGATCGTTCCGCTGAGATCGCTATAGCTTCGCCACGATCGCTCTATCTTCACCATCCTGACCCTGAGATCGCGGATAATATTTTTCTGAATCGCGCCGCGATCGTAATCCTCTTCCTGCGATCACGATCATCGGACTGAGATCGTTATAACTCCGCCGCGATCGCGATTTCATCGCCAGCATCGCAATCCTAACCTTGGGATCGCAGATACGATTTTTCAAAATTGCGCCGCGATGGCGATCATCTTCCCGCGATCACGATCATCACGTTGAGATCGCTATAACTTCGCCGCGATCGCTCTATCTTCCCCGCGATCGCGTTCACCACGCCGCGATAAGTACAATACAGCTGCGATCGCGATTTCATCGCCAGGATCGCAATCCTGGCTCTGAGATCGCGGATAATATTTTTCTGAATCGCGCCGCGATCGTAATCTTCTTCCTGCGATCATGATCATCGTTCTGAGATCGTTATAACTTCGCCGCGATCGCGATTTCATCGCCAGCATCGCAATCCTGACCTTGGGATCGCAGATACGATTTTTCAAAATTGCGCCGCGATCGCGATCATCTTCCCGCAATCACGATCATCGCGTTGAGATCGCTATAACTTCGCCGCGATCGCGATCACCACGCCGCGATCGCGATCACTACGCCGCGATCGCGATCATCGCGTCGCTATTGCAAGCGCGATTTACTTCAATTGCATAGCGATCGCTGATATCGCGCCGCGATCAAAATCATCGCGCCGCGATCACGATCACCGCGTCGCGATCGCGATTACCGCGTCGCGATCGCGATCATCGCGTCGCGATCGCGATCACCGCGCCGCGATCGCTATAACCTCGCCGCGATCGCGATCACCACGTCGCTATCGCGGGCGCGATTAATTTAAATCGTGCCGCGATATGCACAATCGCGCCGCGATCGCTGCCATCGCTCCGCGATCGCGGCGCGATCGCTAATAAATTTTTACAAGGGAGGGAATGGTTGGGGGAAACGCACAATCCAAAGCCTGAACAAAGCGAGTAATCGCCTTGAAAGCGTTCTACTAAGCACATGGAGCTGATGTTAGCAAGGGTGACTGCACTTGAGCCACCACACTGACCGCTGAGCAACAACACACAACGGCACTCCTTGTTATTAACTGCATTAAATGTTGTTTAATTTTATGTTACATTTCTCTTCTCCCTGTAGTGGCCGCTGTTTTTCTCAGACCTCCTCCAGTGCTTGCAATATGGAGCATTAGCTGTGGATATGTACCTTAGGATTTTGAAGGCAATTGATGAGGAAGTGGTTGATAGAGATGTGATAAGGAGTCAACAGGTTAATTTTGTGTATCGTTTTACAGTCAAATCAGGTCAAGCATTCCCATTGCTAACAAAAAAATGATTTTGTTTGTTGATTCAATAATCCATTGATAAAATGAACAATCCAACAGTCAAATTGTACCTCGATTCAATAATTAAATGTTGATTTGGTTTATGAACAAAATCTACCTGTTCTTTGTTCTTGTCCCGATTGTGTTCAATAGTATTTGCTTCCCTTTTCTGCCGTTTACGATTCTGTTTTTTATTGCCAGCTTATCAAAATAACAGCTAGAATATACAGACCGCAAATGCGAAGAAACTGACAAAGGCCGAGGATCGAAATCCACCAATCACCGCACATACAGTGACCTTAGTTTAACCATAGTGTTTTCTGAGAGGTCACATCTGTTGCACTGATTACTGGCATGCAGCAAACTGGCGTACATGTAACAGTTTGTCTGGCCTTGAACTTCAGAACTCACCCGCACTTGACTCGTAGAAAAAAAGAAGAAAATACAAAATTCTGAGGTCGACTTGTGGGAAGTGTAGTTTTTCAAAAAACAGTAATCAAATCAACATTCGATTATGGAATCAAGGCTAAATATGAATATTGGATTGTTCATTTTATGAATGGATTATCGAATCAACAAACGAAGTCATTTTTCTGTCAATGAATTCATTAGTTCGTTAGAAACGGGAAAGCTTGACCTGGTTTGACTGTAAAAGCTGTAATGCTACAATTTCCATTGGTGAAAATATCTCCAACAGAAATTGATAACCTATTCAATTCTATATAATATTGTACTACCCAACATCTCATACGAGCAGCTTGCAGCCACTGAAGCTGAACCCGTTTTAGTGGGTGTCTGTAAAGCGGGTTTGGACTGTACCTAAATTTTTTATTTGCCTAATATAAAAGCTTGTTAAAGTTTGTCATTCAAGCTGTTTTTGTTGTGACAAAGTCCACCATGCCACACACATGAAGTTGTAGGTGCTAATATGAATCTAAACATGTTGTGCAAAGGGCTACGCTGTACATGTGTGAAATTGCTCCTGATGAAAATCAAAATCCTTTGGAGTTAAAACACTGCTTCTAGAATCTTGCTTGTCACATCTTGAAACTTGTGCAAAGACTCAAAGATTTGATTTAAAACTGTCAACTTTTGTGGAGTTTCAGTTGGTTGTGATTGTACAAGTTTGTAAAACCATTTGTGACCTTATTTAGGAAAAGGGGGATTAAGGTGAATAACAAAAAAACGTGTTTTCTCGCGTTTTAAACATAAACGTGTTAAAACACCGTTAAAACGTATTTAAACAACGTTTAAACACACAAAAAACGCGTGCGCAAGATTTTTATGTCGAAAGAGCTTTATACAAACGACGCGTTTAAACGCTGTTAATTTACCTCAAATGAGCGCATAATTACATGGACATTTGCTTCATTATTGGTTGTCATCCGGGGTTACTCTGATTTATTTGAAGCAATGGAGCTCGACAAACCATCGAAAACTTAATTCACGGACTCGGAACGGAGAAGAAATGCGGGATCGAAAGTCCAACCAAATATGGCGGAGTTCTTCGAGGAAGAAAACAAAACACTAAATACTCGGTGACTCAGTAAGTAAATCATAAGCATAAACTTCAACTGAAGTGAGGAATGTACGAATGAATATTACATGATGGAGCGATAAACAGCGCTGTTGCAGCGGTGCAGAAAATTCCCGAATCACGATCTGGGCTGGAAAGTGGCTGCAAAGTGGCTTTGAAAAGATAAAATGTTGTTACCGGTAATGGCCTACCACTCGTCAGTACAAAAAAAAAATGAATTGCAGACTTCAATAATACAATAATCATGAGACACGGTAGAGGAGTTGACAAGGCCTTAGTAACGGTGTAAAAACCACTAGAAAGTCAAAATACAACTGATACTTTTAATCCACGCGTACACGTTACAAAAGCACGTGACATAACAAATCTGCAAAAGTCTCGCTTTGTAATATTCAGCAATAACTCATCTAAATGTAAGAACATGCATTAACATGCAGACAATTAAGTTTATCTTTTTTAAAAATAAAGAGAATAAGAGCGATTGTGCTACATAACGTTTGCACGGACCCACGCCAAATGATTTTTGATTCGTTGCAACAGCGTAAGCCCGACACCGCTCACCTTGACGTTTTTTCCATGATCCACGATCTGTTACACTTTTTTCATGAAAGAAGTCAACCCAATTTTACTTTAGTCGTCGTTAAATTTTACAATGGACTAAGGAACGTACATTATCGTGAACGTTTTAATCATGTAAGTGCATGCGTACCCCAGCTAAGATTCTTGTATCCGAGTTGCTTGCTCTGGTTCGATTCGTCGGTACTTTATAGCGTAGAATTCACTGTACAGTGCCGTTGTTTACAAATACCTTTGAGCTGTTCCATCCAAAAACATCAACAGAACTTCCATCTCGAAACAGAACTAGACGCAAAAAACTTACAATGTATGAATGTTTGCGCCATTCATTCAACGGTCGCAAATGTTTGTCTAGATATGTAATGGTATCTCTCATGCAAAGGTGCCGACCAATTAGATTACAGCCTAGGATGTCTCAAGGGAATTAGCGATAACATTCCCACACTCGCTAGTCACGGAATGAAATTTATTGAAATCTTGATTCAGAACACATAGAATTTGGAGGTTTATTCAATAAGTGATCTTCCCTGCGCACAAGCTTACTCACATTTGTTAGAGGTACAGTCAAAGTTTTCTCGTTATAAAAGCGGGCGAAAAGCTGATATTTTCTGTTATTACGGGGCGAGCGTCACGACATTGTGACCAGTGACCCTGAATGCGAAAATATTCATGTTAGTCGAACGATAACATAAAACATGACTGAAGGCTTGCGGCATTATTTTTTCAATTCTGCTTCGCTTCTGGCGACGTGCTTTTGTCGCCAAAAATTCCAAAGAGGAAAAACGAAGGAGTCGAATGTGAAGATTTAAAGAGCATGAAAAGATTAAAACAAGCAAGCTTGAGAAAAAGGATTGACCTTTTTGTTGGTGAAGCCCGATATGCTGATAGAAACATTTTGAAGCGTCGTTAGGTAGTGTGCGTTTCTTTGACCAATATTGTTGGCTATTGTATTCAAAATGAATGCTCAAATTCGACTGCTTGGTCCATTCTTAGGAAGACTCGAAAACCGCATCTTCTTTCCTGCGTGTGCTAATTGTTTGGTTGCTGCCGTCTTCGCATTTCATATAATAGAACACTGGTAATTTATTCATTCAAATACGACTAAATTAGCTTACTTTCCAGCATACGAAATGCAATATTGAAGTACAACAGAGCCGGTTGTTTAAACGCATTAAAAATCTGTTTAAACGCATACAAAATGCGTTTCCACGCTTTTCGACGAAGCCGATTAAACGCGTTAGAACGTTGTTTTCTAAATTCACCTTAATCCCCCTTTTCCCAAATAGGGTCACATTTACTGATCAATCAGTTCAGAAGCTGAATGAAATTTTTCTTCCATGAACAGGAAGCAGAGAGGAACATGAAAATTAAAGATCACATCAGGGATACCTGCGTCACAGAGCTCGTTGACTCTAGGTTTCAGATTCTGGTAGGTGGGAATCTTGTATTTTGGTACAACAATGAGGTTGAGGTTTTGCTGACTGTTTTTTTATTATGTTTTGTATGCAGAAAACATATGAAAATAGTGTGTCATCAATAACATGCCTTTGCCTGGACATTATTGGAGCATATATTGAATGGATCGATATTGGCCTAATTGCAAACGACAGGTTTATCAGGTAATGTTCATTTTAAAAGGGGCAGAGTAAAGTTAATGCAGACTGCGGACTGACTGTGGACTACGCGGAATAATATTTTTAGGGTTAGAAAACAATGGGACTTTTGGTGAAAGAATGAAAGATGGTAAAATTTGAATGTACACTCTGTAGTATAATTTATGACCTCCCTCTCCATGAGTTCTGCGTAGGTCAAGTGGATAGAGTGCCCGCCCAGTGTTTGGGAGGTCATAGGTTTGAATCCTGTTGGGGACTCAGATTTTTTCTTTGTCCCACGCTCGTGACATGCTGATTATTTCATTTTTTGTAATGTTACTTTTGTTGTCACATTGTCATTTGTTTTGTGAAAACAATAGTCATCAGTCTGTGTTTCATGCTGACTGATGATAAAAATGTTTCCTTTGCTCTGTGTTATTGTGTCCTTTCAATTCTCATAAAGTCAGTTTTTGCAAGTAGCCTTTCAGTGGTTAAGTTAACTGGCAGCTAATAATGTGGAAAAGCATCATTTCTCATTGCTGAAAACTATAAAAAGAGGATTTTACTATTAGCACAACCTTTGATTTTGTGTCCTGCTTACAAATTGATAATGTGTCTTTGTAGTACCTTTCTCCGGTACATGTCAGTTGAAGTTCTTCGCGAGAGTGCTTGTGATTGCATACATGAGATTATCATGAAGGGAATGGAGCCACTGGCAAAGAAAGAACTGGTGGAATCTCTTCAGAGTGTTCTGGAGAAAAGCAGTATCCTTGAACCACAAGAGTTACATGAATTCATGTCTAAGCGTAACATGTGTGTTGAAGAGTGTGAATTCAATACATGGTTTCCTCCATATTCCCAGGGGTGAATGGCTTAATTTAATTATTTGTCATTTGAATCATCACTTTTAGGATGAAGATGCTGACTTCATGGCCAAGTTGGCAAAACTAATGACTGCTTCAGGATCGCAGCTTCTAAACAGCTACTCTAAGTAAGAGATTATTGATTTGCAAGCAAAGTTTCAAACTGTGTTAATTCTAGCAAGACAATACTTCAGCGACTGAGAGTGGCATTGTCAGGAAACGGAAAATGTCAGACGCAAGTTGATAATTAATTTTCTCAAAATTGAAAACGTGCAGCAAAAAACAAGACATAACTAATGTGAAGCTACTAAGTTTGTGGTAGAAGTAGTAAACAGTACAGCACAACATAGTTAGGGGCCGGGACAACTTGGTCACGTGGTACAATTTTTCAGTGTCCCCAATTAGAAAGGCACTGTGCCTGAGCTATCAGACACGAGACTTTAATAAAGTTCTGTCATTTCTTGGTTCCCTCGTTAAAAAAGTCATCCTTTTCAAAATTTTCTTTCAGTTCTTCCTCCCCCCAACCTTATACAAAGTTGAAACTTGGAAAAAATTATGCATAGGCATGTCCAACATTGTTTGTGGGGTGAGGGGAGGTTTGGGCCTGTGTGAATTGAAAAACGCCCCAGAAATGCAAAAAGTATCCCAAGACTTTTGTCCATGATTGAAGTATTTCCTGGCTTTTCTGTCGGCTAATCCATCCTTTATCCACTTGCTCTTTCCTTTATGTCCTTGCACCCTCTGCCTGCCCTCAATCTGTACCTACACTAGTACTCACTGCCTTTTGTTCCTCAAGTTAAATGATGGCCTTCATGCATAGTCCTAGCATCAGCATGACTCTTTTGGCAAGGAAATGACAATGGCCTTTCCTTTACTAACCCTAATAGTGACACTTCACAGCCGTTTGGAGAGGGAAACAATAATATTATAAACCCCTTAAGCCCAAATGTCCACATATAAATTTTTGAGCCTGATTTCTATACGTTTCCTCACAACCTGTTAAAATTAATAACAATTGATCTCAGCATTGTCCCCTTTAATAGTGATCATTTTGGTAATTCCATAAACTCTTCCCTTGATAATGTATTAAAATAGTTAGGAGAAAATTGATGTTGATCACTTGAGAGTCTATGGGTTAAACTGACTGCACACATTTGATTTATAATAATCAGATTATCTTGACATTTTTAGGCTGCAGAAAGCTGGAGAGACAGAAGGTGCAGCCAAGTGCCTACAATCGGCTGAAGAAAAACTACAGTATCTTTTTAGGTAAAGTTAATTACTTAATTAAAATTGTCTTTATGGCAGTAACACAATAACTGGTCACCCAGGAGTTTTTATCGTGGTCCACAATATAACAAGAAAAGAAGCAAATAGTTATTGAAATAAATATAAAAAGGTAAAGAATCCCAACTGGCTGGAGGAAACCAGTTGGGTATTGAGAAATAACTGTATAACAAGATAATATATAGCAATGAAGATTAACAGGTTTTTTTACCTTTTTTTTTTTTTGCCTTTAGATTTTTAGACCATGAAGATGATGATGTTTCACAAAATGTTTGTGGATTTGGGTATTCTTACTTAGCTGTCTTGAAACAGGTACAGTAATCAGTGGGTAATATTTATTGCCTCGCAACCCTTATCTGTAAATGCTGAGATTGAAAATCAAACATATGGGAAAAAGGCTGTTGCCTAACGGGTGCTTCACAGCGGTCAAACGAGTGAAATTTGCAAAAGTTAAGCGAAATACTTCAAAGTTAAGGTTGCTACTTTCACTATCGAAAGTTTAAGGTATTACCAACATCCTGTTAGTTTACTAAACTTTTTAAAAGTTTACTAAAAAAGTTCTAAGTGATTGAAAACCGACGCTGACGTTATTATCGGCGCCATTTTCAAACATGATACTCTTTTAGCGCGAAGCGTTTTCAGCGAAAAAAGCTCAAAATTTTGAGAAAAATGGAAAGATAGTTATGTTGACTAACTGATTTATACATCTTTGCCCATTTTTCTCTAACTAGTAAATGAAATCCCTGCAATAAAAAACAAAAATAACGATTGAGACGTTTGACCGCGGTGGTAACGGGTGCCTGGTGGCCAGAGGTGCCTACGATTTACCCTCAGGTGACCAAAATTTCAAACAGGAAGCCTGAACGGGCGCCTAAAACTTGATTCTCAGGCTAACTTCTAGTGAACAAACAACAAAATTCCCTGCTCATTGTGCTACCCTTGTAGAACCAGACATATGCAAAACCTATGCTCATGCTATTTGTTTACTATGTTGGACTATGTTTCAGCTATGTTATGTTCACTACTGCCTATGTATTAACTATGTAACACACCAAACAACATAGTCCAAAGTATGCAAAATCTATGTTGAAACTATGTTTAGGCTATTTGAAAAGCACATAGCTTTTGAATACCTATGCAAATACTATTCAAAATCTCTTCATAGTCTTGACATAGCTATGTATTTACTATGCAATAGAAAGTTCTGCTTTTCCTTCCGATTAGCATCCTATGTATTCACTATGCCTCAAAGTAAAATAGCTTTTACATAGCATCTCGATCTTCACTTTTATTTCCAACAAGTTTCTTAGCTTTTACATAGTGCTATGTATATTCTATGCTACGTGATGAAACATATTTGCAGCCTATGTATTCACTATGTGACATTTTCATTTAGCTTTATCATGAGATAAAGGCTACATAGCTTTTACGTAAACATATTTTTTCCTATGTCACTCATATGAAAAATATATGTAGTCTATGCGTTTCCTATGTGATATTCCAACATAGCTTTTAAATGACTCGGCATGTTGATGGTAGCGCTTACAGAAGGCTAAGCATACTTCCAAAGTAAAAAGCAGTGTTTTAAACTAAAACACTGAAAAATCATGTACTATAATTTTTTTTGTGCTTGCAGATAGTTTCTTAGTGAGAAGATTTTTGTTAAGCATTGAATCGCTACATCCATCATCCCTGTCTTAACTTTCCTTTCTAGCTTTTCCCTAGAGTTTCTTCACTTGAAATGATACTTCCATGCATCATTTTCTTCTTTTACATTGGGTTCGATCTTTCGTCTTGATTGTGGACGTCTCCTGAATATAACTGCATGGTCAAAACTGCGAAACGCTAGCTGCAGTCCTCGGAAAAGTCCTCGGTGGGTGTTTGTCAGCCATTTTGTTTCCACTAGTTCCCAGGGAAGCCCGTGAGTTCAACACATGCGTATGTTGCGTTTTATCGTCACGTGGGCCTTTTCAACCAATGAAAAGGTGTGAAAATTGTCTGTTTCCACGCGGGCGCTTTCAAGTCAAAGAAGACGAGCTGTAAGCGTGCGTTTTTACAAGAAGACGCTTCTTTTTACTTCAATTTCCAGTCTTTTTCCTGCCAGGTTCAACAAAAAGTATTCCTAACGTTGGTAAGTGATGTCTTTCTCAATTAAGTTTCGATTTGCCTGTATTGTCTCCCCTTTTCGCGTATCTGAACAAGCATCGGTCACCTTCGATCACGCTTTGATACGGCTTACGGTATTCCGCGAAACGAAACGAAACGAAACGAAACGAAATGAAACGAAACGAAGCGAAACGAAACGAAATGAAAATTAAGAAGATATTACACAAGCAAAAGGGAACGATGGCACTAAGAATTATTCCCGGCCTCTCTTCGAAAACTGTCCTCGCTAGATGGCGGCAAATTATCTTGTTAGATAAAGTGAATACTGCCTTATAGATGCGACAAGAAATTTGCCCTCTCGCTCGCTAGATCCCTTGTTTCGCAAAATACCAATGGCGGCCGATTGGTAATCGACGAAACAAGGCTCGCAAACTATTTTTATAAGCGTTCTGCCTTCGAAAATTATCTTGTTAGATAAAGTAAATACTGCCTTATAGATGCGACAAGAAATTTGCCCTCTCTTCGAAAACTGTTCCTGCTAGATCCCTTGTTTCGCAAAATACCAATGGCGGCCGATTGGTAATCGACGAAACAAGGCTCGCAAACTATTTTTATAAGCGTTCTGCCTTCGAAAATTATCTTGTTAGATAAAGTAAATACTGCCTTATAGATGCGACAAGAAATTTGCCCTCTCTTCGAAAACTGTTCTCGCTAGATCCCTTGTTTCGCAAAATACCAATGGCGGCCGATTGGTAATCGACGAAACAAGGCTCGCAAACTATTTTTATAAGCGCTCTGCCTTCGAAAATTATCTTGTTAGATAAAGTAAATACTGCCTTAAATTATAGTTTTGGAGGAGAAAATCAAAAATCTAAAATCATACGATTTTTTTAAACACTTATCACTTTACTTTACCAAATTCTTAGCTTTACTTGAAAAATACTGAAAAAAAAAAATATCATAGGAGTTGATTTTATAGGAAATGTATGGTCCCGGGGGGGGTCTTCAAATTGTTATAACTCGAGAAATATTTGTCATAGCGAGTTACGGTTTTCGGTATATTAGTCCTCTAGTCAAGCTCTTTTAAATGATATCTTTGGTGGTATGAAATTAGAAACTTTGTACCACGTGTTTTGTGGCGTCATAAATTATGACGTCAGAATTTGACATTTTGACATTTTTTTACCTTATAAATGATTTGGACAACAACCCAAGCGAATGTGCGAAGTTTGGTGAGGAAATGTGCAAAAAAGCAAAATTAGCCTTAATGATACATTTTAGGGGTGGTTTGGCCCCGCCGTGGATAATGATGATGTCTACATCTATTCGTTTCTGTTTTGTTGCTTTCTCGCTCACCCTGTAAACACAAGATAGATTGAACGAAAGGTGGTTAAGGTTTTGATTTCTACGAGCGACTAATTGTGTAAATCATCAGCACAAAGGAAAGTGAATTGTTCCCAGAGAAGAGCGAAACTGCAGCAAACGTCAATTAGAGAATTTTTTTGTCCTTCAGGATGAGAAAAGCTTATTACCATTGACAGTAACATTGTTTAAATTTAACGGAGATGTAGTCTTCTTGTAAAGATCACAATTTACTATCTATTTCGCGATCAATGTGTTAATGTTGCTGATTTTCTTGGTGTTTATATTAATCAACAAAGTTCCCTAATTGTCGCGACAAAATAGGACATGATCAACCAACATCATGCAATTAAAAGTGATTGTTTTGTTGTTTAATAGTGTTCGTAAGGCAGTATTTGCTTTATCTAACAAGACAGTTTTCGAGAACAAATAATTTGCGAGCCTTGTTTCGTCGACACCAATCGGCCGCCATTGGTATTTTGCGAAACAAGGGATCTAGCGAGAACAGTTTTCAAGAGAGGGCAAATTTCTTGTCGCATCTATAAGGCAGTATTTACTTTATCTAACAAGAGCCTTGTTTCGTCGATAACCAATCCGCCGCCATCTAGCGAGGACAGTTTTCGAAGAGAGGCCGGGAATAATTCTTAGTGCCATCGTTCCCTTTTGCTTGTGTAATATCTTCTTAATCATTTCGTTTCGTTTCGTTTCGTTTCGTTTCATTTCGTTTCATTTCGTTTCGTTTCGTTTCGTTTCGTTTCGTTTCGTTTCGCGGAATACCGTAAGCCCTTTGATACTCCTTCGTTTCAATTCTAAAACGTCAGGTTGTTTTTATGTTCATTTGCCTTAAAATCTCCACTTTTCTGTTTGCAGATACTTATTCGTTGCAGTCAAAAGGAAACTGTATGGCACTGAAGGGCACGACATCAGCAAAAAGTCTACACGATAAGCAAATTAAGCAAACTTTAACTTGGGGTTTCGATTCTGAAACCTCCATGAAAATACTGCATTTGTGTTACTATTAGTCTTCGTGATATTATATTGTCATAGTTTTCAATTTTTCGTTTCAAAACCTATTTCTTACCAATGTAAAAGGTATTCTAATTCATATGTTTATACTATTTTTACTATTTTGGTGATTTTTACGAACGTATTTTAAACACTACATTTGCTTAAACAGATCGAAACCTACATACATAAGAGACTATGTCAATTCTATGTAATTTCTGTTTGAACTCTAGTTAAAGCCTGTGTATGTGATATGTTTTACCTATTCAAATACTATTAAAATCCTATTTCAAACCTATGCAAAGACTATTTGTTCTGTGTTTTCCCTATTTTAATGCTATGCAAAGTATATGTCACCTTTAAAAAGGCTATGTTTTTCATATGTTTTTACTATTTCTAGGCTATCTAAATTCTAAGCAAACCCTATTCAAAAGCTATTTAATCAACTGTTCCCTGTTACATTTTACTATGTAAACTCTATTTCAGTCCTATGTGAAGGCTATTTATTTTCTATGATTTTTCTATGAGGTTGACTATGACGTCTAAAATCTCTTTCCACAAGCTAAGTAAACTGTATGTATAGGCTATGTGGAAACTATGTCATTTCTTCCTTTATTCCTACCTTTAAAAACTGCATAGCTTTTAAGTAGGTTCCGTTTGACTAGCGAAAACATAGCATTTTCGATACAAAAAACATAGTCCTGGCATAGAAACAACATAGGATCTGGTTAAAGCAATGTATGACTGATTAACATAGGTTTTACATAGCTTTGTGACATAGCATTTGCATAGATTCTACATAGTGTCTGATTCTACAAGGGCTATTTTCGAGTGGTGGAAAATGCTGGTTTCTCAAAACTCAAAACTCAGTTTTCCTGTTTCAAAACTCGCCTTGTTTGAGTCTTGATTGTTTTTCCGGTTTTGTCTTGTCATGCATTGCTCCTTAGCATTGTGTGATGGTCAAAATCAGCTGTGAGGAAGACTTAGATTTTGAGCCTTTGAAAGGGTTAGATAGCTCCCTCTACTCTAAACACTGTCACTGATCATTGAATATTTGTTAACTATTTGTTCCACGCAGATTACAAATCCAAGTGAACAGCAAAAGGCAAACTTAAGGGTAAGTAGTGGCTGTAGACACATCTGCCTCACAAATAATTCTTTAGACCCCAAAATTTTACTAAGTAAATTTTGTCATAAATACACTTATTTTTGTCTTGCAAGGTAAGCAATAATGTTGTTTTTATCTCTGTTATCCTCATTTCTGTAGGGAATGCTGCATGTTGTTATCAAGAAGATGAAATATGATGAGTCGTACAATTTTGAACGGGAGGTAATAATATATAATTTCCTAGTTATTTCCACATCCTGGCAGTATTTCTATACCTAGTCAAGATGGATGGATAATTATACCGGTATGTAAAATCCTTGTATACTACATGTATTAAGCTGTTCACTTTTGTGATCTTTCCGTTTTTTGATCTTTTCAGGGTGAAGACGAAGTCATGTTCATGGAATACAGAAAAGAAATGAAAATTCTTTTTGACAACATTGCTCAACTCGTAATGATTAGATTTGTGTCTCTCCATTTGACTTTTAATCCCTAAAGCATTTAATAAAAGAAATGATTATATGTAATCTCTTTGTTCTTATTCTTGTAGGATCCTGACCTGGTGTTAGTCTCAGTTCATAACAGTTTGAATTCAACATTTGGGTGAGTGCAGGCCTGAGTCTTAGATGATCTGAGTCCTGCTTCCTCAAACTCATTCTTTGGCATGTCAGTTAATTAACACTTTGCAATGACATTAAACTCAATAGCCACATACTGTAGTAATATTGTTGTACAACATTGAAATTTGAGCTAATTGCACACCCCCAATTTGTTTATTTGGGGGGCTGATTAGCAGAGTATAAAACAGGAGAAGATATTGTGTTACAAGTAATATTGCACTTTAATGTCTACAAACTTGGTGTAAAGCTTTTTATCATCTTACTTTAAATCTTAAAATAACCACAGCTTAGGATTTTCTCAGTATACTCAAACAACTAGAATTTTGTTGAGAATTAGGCAGTTTTAATTCTTTTACTCTCTAAAAAAAAATGATGTTGAGATAAATGTTGCAGGAAGCTAATTCCTCCCATTTTTTGCCAGAAACATATAAATTTATTCTTAACTTGGTCTGTGCAGGAAATTAGATGAAGCAAAACTCATGGATGTTGAGATAGCAGTGCGAGCTCTTTACATGCTGGGTGAAGCAATATGTCGGCAAGGTTTTTTTAAAGTAAATAGTGTATTCATTAGGCATTGGAGATTAGACAAATTCGGTATAGTAAGGTTCAATAGCCTTTGACTATTAATTTTAATTTATTCATGGAGCCTTTTTCAAGATATTCTCCTGTAATGTCACACCTTTCTCCTTCTTACAGAACTGTTTATAAAATATGAAAACCCCATTTTTAGCTTAAAACTTCAAGGTGAGCTTAGCACCAGCATTAACATTTAGGTGTATTCTTCCCTGGCCTGGATGGAAGACAAGCCAATTGCTTTTTTGTGGGCACATACAGACCTGCAAACTCTCGATCTCATGATTCTGCTGTGAGTCGCACAATTTTTTAACTTTTCTCACGGCCTCACAACAAGGTCTCTTAATCTCACAGTTTTTTGAGAAATATCATTCTGATATGAAATGTTACCTTGTTGAATAAAAAAGGAAATTTTGTGTGGAATGCTAGTGCCTGTTGGAGCCTTGATGGGGCTTTGTAACATAATTTAGCCATGAAGGTGGCTTACTGGAAAAAATGACTCTGCCAGAAGTTTTGTCCTAGTGATGACCTATTCTCTGGCCTCTTAAAGTCGATCAAAGAAAAAGTGACATCAAATTTGCTACAGTGGGGACCCAACTAACACTGGGTTATACATAAATTAACCGTTAACTCTTCCAATGGAAGAAGGGTTTGTTTAATCCTAACCGGGAAAAAATAGATTTTTTTCATGAGTCTCCAGATTTTCCTTTATCAGGGGCCTGACGGGTCTGCACATAACTGCCTAATATGGGGATGGACATGAGTGAGACTGTTATGGGTCCCAATTGCTAGGTGTTTTCCCTAGCTATATACTCATTCCCACAACTCATTGGACATGAGTGAGACTATTATGGGTCCCAATCGCTAGGTGTTTTCTCTAGCTACCGGTATATACTCATTCCCACAACTCATTGGACATGAGTGAGACTATTATGGGTCCCAATTGCTAGGTGTTTTCTCTAGCTATATACTCATTTCCACAACTCAATGGACATGAGTGAGACTGTTATGGGTCCCAATTGCTAGGTGTTTTCCCTAGCTATATACTCATTCCCACAACTCAATGGACATGAGTGAGACTGTTATGGGTCCCAATTGCTAGGTGTTTTCTCTAGCTATATACTCATTCCCACAACTCAATGGACATGAGTGAGACTGTTATGGGTCCCAATTGCTAGGTGTTTTCCCTAGCTATATACTCATTCCCACAACTCAATGGACATGAGTGAGACTGTTATGGGTCCCAATTGCTAGGTGTTTTCTCTAGCTATATACTCATTCCCACAACTCAATGGACATGAGTGAGACTGTTATGGGTCCCAATTGCTAGGTGTTTTCTCTAGCTATATACTCATTCCCACAACTCATTGGACATGAGTGAGACTATTATGGGTCCCAATTGCTAGGTGTTTTCCCTAGCTATATACTCATTCCCACAACTCATTGGACATGAGTGAGATTATTATGGGTTCCAATTGCTAGGTGTTTTCCCTAGCTATATACTCATTCCCACAACTCATTGGACATGAGTGAGACTATTATGGGTCCCAATTGCTAGGTGTTTTCCCTAGCTATATACTCATTCCCACAACTCATTGGACATGAGTGAGACTATTATGGGTCCCAATTGCTAGGTGTTTTCCCTAGCTATATACTCATTCCCACAACTCATTGAAGATTAGGGAGCTTAAGCAACAACAATGGCAACGGCTGCAAAAACGTCACTTAAAAAGTGAAGTTGCACTGCCTCAAACTTGATCGCACTTATTCCATCTCGTTTAAGTCATCAATTGAATTCTAAAGGACTGTATCAAAGTTCAGGAAAAGAAAAAGAAAGTTGTTGTCTTGTGTTCCCTCAACGACGATACATGAATTTGTGCACTTTCAGATTTTAGTTGTGCATGCAACGACAGCAGAGAAATGTACAAAAAAGCATGATGCATATGCAAAGTTGTTGTTTTGCTAATCTAAACCTATTGCTTTTTTGCTGTTCTCATTGCTGTCACTGTAATCATTCCTTCAGCTCCCTTAATTCACACCAATTCACTAGAGTGTCTGTGATAACCTTTTTCAAATTTTCAATTAACAGACCCAACAATTGTATTCAGATGCCTCCAAGTTTGCTGATCTTCAACAAATGATGAGGTTGGTGAGCTTTAATTTGTTGCGAATTTTTTATTGACAGTTTCTGTTTTAACTTTCACATACTTCGACGGTGTATTTGTTACAGATCAAATTATATTCAGGTTAGAATTTTTTAATCTACTGTAGGCTGATTTTCTATTTCCCTTGTCTCTTAACCCCAGTTCATGACTGAGTAATAAGGGCTATGAGATTAAAGTAACAGAGAATCAACATAGGTTTAAAAATTTTAACCTGAAATTTAATTTTGACCTGTAACTCCTTTGTTTGTATCATTTTCTTATATGAGCTAAAACTTCATATTTACCAGCAGATCTAGAGGAGGGGGCACCCTTTTCTCGCCCAAATCAGTCCCCCCCCCCCCTCCCCTATTACCTTGAGGTTTGGATCCAACACTGCGTTTTTAAAGTTAAATGAATGCCCCAAAAATGCATTATTTGTGTTCTATTTCAACAGCTTGTTACAAGTGCTGTTTCCTATTACAGACATTCTGCTGTTGCTCAGATGGTAATTTTAATTTCAGCAACTATTTTTTTGGAACATCTCACTAAGCTATTTATTTATTGTGTTGCAGATTCTGATGGTTTGTTTTTTTTTTGTGCTCTTTCAGTTCTTTGAAACTGTTGTCAGATATGATAGATTCTTTTTAAGTCAGTCCCAGCATATTCCCACAGTGCTGGTAAGATTTTTTCTCTTGTTACAAAAATTATGATATTATTATTGTTGCAAGTTATGTAGAGGTAGGATTAAAATGTATGAAGTAAGCTATCTTTATAAAAACTGTTAATAATAAGGAGGTTTCCATACTTGGTGAAGTTTGACTGTAACAATAAACATTACTTAATTATTTTGTCTATATTTTTCAGATTGCTTTTCTTGACGAAAGAGGACTGAGAAATCCAAACTGTACTGTTAGAAGTAGATGCTGTTACTTGTTTTCAAGATTTATCAAATCGCACAGGTATGTTTGTGGTCATTATGTTCTTCATTGTTGGTGTCTCTGTGGTCATTACTTATGTTCTTCAATGTTGTTGACAAAGTAATTGCGGCTATTTTCTTTTTGTGGTAACCGACTTTACGTCAACCCCCTCACCCTCAACCTTCCCAGCAAAAAATGTTTAAAAAAGCTCGATACCGTGTTAACGGTAAGAGCTATTTTTGGTGGCCTTCGCAAAATAGATTTACCAGAGGATTTTGAATTTATTTATCAACTGGTTTTTTTTTTTTTTCAATAGGTTCTCCTTACAGATACAATATGCACTAACAAGTACAACATGAACAATGCTCTCTTCAAAGAAGTTCAGATCAGGTTAGAAGCTACATTGTTTTTTATTGGGCAGGGCGTAGCTATCTTAATATACTGTAAGCGCTTTATTGTAACAACACTTGTTACATCTCATCTCAAACAGCAAACGTCCGATTCAAGTTGAGAATTTCTTAAAATAGAAAATGAGCAGATAAAAACAGCTTTAAACAATTCTTATGGATAAAAAATTGCATGAAATTACTAATTTAGGTGAAGAAATAATGAACAGTAAACGACACGTAAAGGGAAAACTTGGTCACGTGGTACAAATTCGCCCTTGCGATCTCATCACTTTGCGCAGACTTACATGCGTAAACTTTCTTACTGGGTTGCAGTCTTCATAGTGGTGGGCTCGTTTCTGTCCCTGCCGACACGAAAAGCTATCCGGTATAGTATGAAAACCAATCCGATATGTGAACTTCCACTTTCAAGATCAGCGCGGTGCACCTTCGCTCCCTTAACCCTTTCACTGCCAAATTTAGCCAAAGGCAAATTTCGACCAAATTTTCAAATTTCATTTTGTGAAATTTTGAAAAACAAATGGCACCATGTGTAAGTACAGGCAGAGAGCTTTTATTTGAATGGTCACATCATGGGATTTGATCCGCAGAATCAAAAGTTAGGATCACCTTAAAAGACTCCATCAAGCACTCTGACAGTGATAGGGTTAAGGTAAATTTCAACTGCCGTGTAATTTTTCCGTGCGTACGTACGTAAATTTTACGCGCGTGAATAAAATAGAGACATAGTATGGAAGGACACAGGTAAAAGTTAAAGTTAAACCTCGCTAACGTTTACGTTTCCGAGTGGCCTTTCATAAATTGCCTCTATTTCATTTACGCACGTAAATTTTACGTGCGTTCGCACGGAAAAATTACTCGACAGTGGAAATCAACCCTTACAGAGATGGCGCCGAAATCACCGTTCTCAGACGTGACCAGAAGCCCCATCCGGTAGGATTTTCGTGACGGCGCAACAGATATTAGTCTGCTACACAGCCGTTTTTACTGTCGTCACGCAACGCTTCTCCCGTGACAACACTAAACACAGCTGTGGCTGTATAGCAGACTAGGCCGCTTTCCATTTGTCAGAACTGGCCGGCCGGACTTTTGCCGGACCAGTCAGCTAGCAAATGAAATCGGCTTTTTCCAGTGGCTTTTTGCTGAAAAACCATCTCCTTCATTATACTGTTTAGAATTTGACTGATCTAGCTGGATAGTTTTAATTAAGAGTGAAATTCTAATTACGACAGAAATGATCTTGCTTGTCAGTTCTGACAAATGGAAAGCGCCCTTAGTCTCCCACATTGGTGAGGGGCGTTGCGTGACGAGACAAAACGGCTACGTTGACTAGATCAACGCAACACTTAGTGTCCTACAATAATTTAATACCTCGCAACTCAAGCGCGTTTTCCCTCTGGAAAGGAATGTGTCACGTCCTGCTTGCCATGTACAAACCTTCCTACCTTCTAAACAAACCGAAACTCGCATTTGACCAGGTCGCGTGTTTTGTTTTAAACCTACGAAAATCTATGTACCGGTCGCGCGAAACAAAGAATTTTTCCACACTCATGATTAAAACCAATTAATAATTTGTTTTATTTTTGACATGTCAGGAATGACAAAGAGGTCGTAAGCCCCGTCTAGGAACAGATTTAATTCTGACTCTGCGGAATGTAAAAGACACTCCACGGACGTAGCAAATTTCTGACATTGACCTCCCCACCCCCTCCCCGTGATCTTGGGTGGGCAATCCGTAGGAAAAGATCTTAATTCAGGGATAAACCCTCGGATTCTCCTTCAGGGTGATGAAGCAGCTACCTACAAACATACATGGGATATGAGTTTTTTAGGTTTACCTCGGTGTATGTAGCCTGCGAATGCAGTTGTATTTCTGGTCGTCCCTTTTCTCCACCCGGAAGTAAGAAAAGCGACGACCGGAAATACGTTTGCGTTGGCAGGCTACGGTGTAAGAACCTAGGAACTTTTTCTTTGCCTCGCACCTTTTTTTGTGTTTGTTTTTTTTTTTGGTTCTACTGTTCTGACTTCTTTGTTTTACGTTACTCGTGAGGTTCTTACACCGAGGGTGAGCCAGTTTTTTTTTTTAGGAGTTTTGGTTTGTTTCATCTTCAGGTTCAAAAAGGAATGGAGACGATCATTTAAAGAAAATTGCCACAGATGTTTTCCATAACGGAGGCTGCGTAGCGCCGCACACACTGAACGTCTAAAAATAATTTATTTTCATGTTTTAAATTATTGCACATGAAACTGTATAATTATAATTATTTATAATGTAATGTCTGTTTGTACAGGATGTATTTTAATGTGTATCGACAGGGACCCATGGGCTTCTGAGATAGTATATTCTGTTGACAGCTTTTCCTTTGTATTTCTGTTCGTGAATAATGTGATACAAGGAAACTTTAACGTTTGTACCATTGTTCCGAGTCTAAATCTAACTTCTTTTCCTAGTAAGTGAAAAGAAGGCAGAAGGCTGTAAGAGTAACCACGTATTGAATAAAATGCGTCAGGCATTTACAGTTTTTAACAAGTGATGTGCAAATAATTGTTTTTCTTCAGCCAGGGTCATGCGAAGTAGATGCGTTGAATGTGAGCTCGACTCTGTAGTGAAGCCTGGGCGTTTTTAGTTGCTTGATTTCATACTACTTTTCTGGTCCCAGGATTATTGATTTCCTTTTTATTGGGCTGTCTGTGGCAAACCCACAGGGCCACGCTCAACCAAGGAATGAGAAGCAACATTCTTCCATGGTCTTCCATCTTAAGTCGAAAAAAGACAAAATGGCAGGCTGATCTCCCAGTAGGTATTGCGTGTCCCTTTCCCCCTACAGTAGATCCGATTTTTAAGGGAAGGGGATGGGCCATTTCATATAAAAGGCTTTCAAAGTGCTATGCTTACGCCAAAAAGGAAGGAAAAAAAATAACATCGTGGTAAACCGATCGAAACTTTTTGCCTAAAGTCGCCCTTCCACTAGACAAATTTAACTTGTTAATGGATTAGAAAACAACGCAGTAAAAGCTAGTAGTACGGTATTCGTTTTAACTCGACTATTCAAATAGATCTTTAAAAAAGATCGCGCTCTTGTCACTGATAACAAACAAACACAGTAAATTTAACCGCACAGGATTTTCGCAGCCCAATACACGCGTAATATACGCGTCTTGTCTCAGTAAAATCACTAGATTTGTCATAAGGCTCTGACTAACCTGGGTTCTAGAGGTTGTTCCTCGCGTGCGGCGGGCGTGATGCTTCAATGTCGGCCGTTGGCCGAAAGATCATCGGCCGACCGAAGGCCGAAGGCACGAGCAGCAATACCTTGCGGATCACTTAGAACCGATAACCGGACATGAAAAGTCTCTGGCACTCAGGGTAGCCTCTGACTCCATTTGGAAATTCGTTTCTCCAAGTAAACCCCTTCCTATGTTGAAATTTGTAGCTTCTGTCTTCATCGCTGCCGCTGCTTAAACGAGAAAATTAAAAACCTGCAAAGTATTCGAGAATCTTCACGCTGGACCGTGGTGCAGCTACTGCCATTGGTGACCAAAAATTAAAAACATCTCAGGGGCACCCAACGAGAGTATATTTCAAAACTACTTAAACACATAGCATTGTTAAACGTATTTTAGTATTTAAACGGTAGATATAGGGATAAAATCCTGGAAAATTTTTCCATCTGTTCGGATTTCGTAACTGACAGTCTAGTGATCCGAAAATTGTAGGGATCAAAACTTACTTTTTTGAAAATTTCAGCCAGAAAAAAGGTTTCCGAAAATTCTAGGTGACCTTTTTAGGGTAAAAAACCCGTTAAAAATGGGCAATTATACCATTTTTTAGATGTTCGAAAATCGTAGGAGAGGCAGGCAAGCAAGGAATTTTACAACAAATGTTCCGAACAAATTCCAGGTCTCAAATCGTCTTTCAAACAGACATTTTCCGAAAATTGACGTTGGGTACCCCTGAACATCTTGGCCCTCTCTAGGTATACGTTGTTTGGAGGTGGCCGTTATTGCCAAATCAAAGATGACTTGAGATCACCAGGCGAACAAAACTACATCCGAGAGGGGAGGGGTGGCCTCAAAGTCTTCCTTTCCTTGCTCTTAGGCACTGTAGCCACCCCTACGCCAGATTCTTGCTCCCTTTAACACTGAACGAAAAACAAAATATGGTCTATTTGGACGACGGCGTCGTTTGATCCCAGGAATTGCGGGACCCGCTGGACCAACCGAACATTACTTTCTCAAAGCATGTGACGCCACGTAGAAAGGTTAAAACCCTTTCGCACCGTTGAAATACTTCCTTTTCTTCAGTTTTTTAAGATTTAAATGTCGATTGTGGTCAAACAGAAGTATTAACTTGCTCCCCCATCCCCACCCCCCCAACCTGGGGAAGAAACCCAGGGTATTTGACTTGCTGATGTACGCGGGAAGCCGGGAATTTGACAACAGTGACTGCTATTGGGGTGTAGAACTTGATGGCATCTGGGATTCGAAGAGGATTGAAACAAATGGTCGCAATCATGTTAAACTATTTTTGGTGCTATTAAAGTGTAATACCTTGATAAAAAATAATTATGGCGGGTATGGAATATTGGGAAACTTGAGTTTGTTTCTGTTTCTCCTATTTTCCTTGTTGCTGTTGCCAAGCAAGTCCCAGGGGTAGGGTATATGACAGGAAATCTGCAACAAAAAAGTCCATTTTATAGTCAACTCTCGCCTTGGGGACACCCCGCTATAACGGACACTCCGGTAATACGGACAACAGCTAAATCCCAGGGAAAAATAAATTATAATATACAAACGTTTGACTGAAATAAACTCTCGCTATTACGGACTCTAGCTAGGACACTATCTCAAGGCCCCTACAGTGTCCGCTATAAAGGGAGGTGACTGTACTTCCAAAAAACTCCAACACACACTCATACAGCGTGAGCCACGTCAGAGAGTCAATCACAAGGCATATCAGTATTCAGCAGTTTTCGGAGAAAAACGAGAAGTATCAGACCAACTTCCTCTGCGGAAGGTTCCATCAGTCGTCTACGTAAGCTCGGGGGCGACATACTGATTTCGTTTTTATTTTTAACTTTCCCATTTTTGTTTTTTAACTTTTTGATTTTCACTTCGCCATCTTAAAAAGGTGGAAAAGTGAAAAATATAAAAAAAAACACTATGTGGCCCCTCTGGGCTTCAGTAGTCTACATCACCTGTTTAAAGATCTTTTTTACAGCTTTTTGTTGTTTTGTTCAGAGATACTGTTGATAACTGTATATTAGACTTCACGTCTCGTATGCTGTATAAATTTTCATGGTTGCCTGCATTTTGGGAGCTATTTCTGGGAGCACTTACGCCACTTTTGTTGACGTTACTCGTAGCTTGATCAAAGTGAAACCATACTTAGTAAAGACGACTGGTTAGGAATTAAACCCGGCAAACATCAAAGTTGAAATTAATAGTGCTGTAGGTTATGTTGGAAGTTCCCTGACCGTGCACAATCCTTTAGTTTTTGTTCACAGATTGTGACTGAATAAATTAATGCAATGTTTATATTGGTCAAAAACTTCAGAGTGATAGGAATGTTCTTGAACGTTGTGCATGGTCAGGTTTAAAGTAGCTAACAAAAACCTATAACAAAAGGTTCCCAGCCATTCCACTTGAATTAACTATGATGAAACTGAAAGCTTAATGAAGGGAAAAATCCCTCATACAAGATTCATCTTTCACTTGGTAACAGTTTTGTTTGATGCTCAGGTTAGTTTTGTGCAGGTCTCGTTATTTCATTTGTGAAGGAAAATTTAATTGACTTTTATACATAAACTTGTCTTACAAAGTATCTTACAAAGTATCGTTTCCTCGTAGATCCTTTCGTCGTCACGAATCAAGGACCCACTGCTGTAGTCTTGCGAACTATCAAGATTCGGGAATTTACAGCTGAGGTATGCGTTTAATACGTTAGCTTCAGTTACACCTCGATTAATTAAGAAATGTCTTTTGCTTTAATCGCTGGGATTTTTTATGACGAGCTTTAGATCAGTCGAATTCGGCAGGATCGTTTATATTTCGAGATGACAAGACACAATTTTCATCAGCTATCGTACTCTGATCGAAGAAAAATCAAAACGCTATGGGAGCGTACACTTCGGCGTCGTGGTTGTGGATTAATTGTGAATGCGGAGGAATAGTAAGAAATGATATTTTTCCGGATACTCTTCCGTACAGATACCCTTACTTCGACTTACTTTTCTTCTTTTCTGTAACAGACGAAATCTTAACTTTTTCACCGGAAGTCTGCTACAGTCTCAGTCAAAATTGTTGGGACACTTTGCCATTTGCAAAAAGGAGTGCATTAGATACTTAAGAATCTCATACCTCTGTGATTGCTGTAATCTTTTAGTTCTACTCGTCTTAGTCATCCGTGTGTGATCATTTTAGTCGGTTAACCGCTAAACAGTTTCCTTCGATCGTCTCCTTCGCTTTTTTATGGTCTAAAAGTTTCGTCGTCGGTTATTTAATATTTCTTATTACAAACGATTTGTTTAGAAGAATTCCGTATGCTTTGAGTAGTAGTTTTAATCGTTACCTAACAACAAACAAGGAATTGCACATACGGACAATGGAAATCCAGCGTTGTCAAAGAATGAGATTCTTAAAATCTAGGTTCTACAATGAAATTTGTATCTTCTGTCTTTGTCACTGTCGCTGCTTAAACCGGAAAATTAAAAACCTGCAAAGTATTTGAGAATCTTTATGCTTCAACTTTCGTTGGAAATTTGTGACGAAAACATTTAGACATCTTGCCTTAGCAAACGGAGTGTCTTGTACTTTTTGGTTCTTTGCTGCAAAGCCTTTGCTGGAGAAAATTATAACAGTCGAACTTCCATGTGCGATCATCTCACATAAGCGACAGTCTATCCAAAACTCGTAGTACCACCTTTTAAGAAGATAGCTGAATATTTTTCGTTGTTTAAAACCGATCCCGTAAGCAATAATTTGATAATTATAGGGTCGAAGCCCCCGCTCTAGGTATCCGTTGTAGGGACGTGGATGCTATTGCCAAATCAAAGATGACTTGGGATCCCTAGGCAAGCAAAAGTACATAAAAGAAAGGAAGGGTGGCCTTAAAGTCTTCCTTTCCTTGCATGCTCTTAAGCACTGTAGCCACCCCTAAACCAGATTATTGCTTCCTTTGACACTGAACGAGAAAAAAAATTATGATCCATTTGGGCGATGTTGTCGTTTGATTACAGGAAATGTTTACAGCGGGACCCGCTGGACCAACCATTACTTCTTTAAAGCATGTTTGGCCACGTAAAAAAGTTAAAACCCCTCCGCGCCGTTAGAAAATTTTATTTCTTCAGTTCTTTAAGACTTTAATGTCGATTGTGGTCAAACAGAAGTATTAACTTGCTCCCCCACCCCCAACCTGGGGAAGAAACCCAGGGTATTTGACTCGCTGATGTACGCGGAAAGGAGGGAATTTGACAACGGTGACTGCTATTGAGGTCTAGAACTTGATGGCATATAGGATTAGAAGAGGATTGAAACAAATTGTCTTAATCATGTTAAACTATGTTTGGTGTCATTACAGTGTAATACCTTGATAAAATTATGGCGGGTATAGAAAATTGAAAAATTTGTGTTTGTTTCTGTTTCTCCTATTTTCCTTGTTGCTGTTACCAAGCAAGTCTCAGGGGTCGGGTATATGGCAGCACATCTGCAACAAAAAAAATCCATTCTAGAGTCAACCCTTGCCTTGCGGACACCCCACTATAACGTACACCCCAGTAATACGGACAACAGATAAATCCCAGGCAAAAATAAATTATAATATACAGACGTTTGACTGAAATAAACTCCCGCTATTACGGACTCTCGCTAATGAGGACACTAACTCGAGTTCCTTCCTTCGAGTGTCCACTATAAAGGGAGGTGACTGTACTTCCAAAAAACTCTCACACACACTCATACAGTGTGAGCCACGACAGAGGGTCAATCACAAGGCATATCAGTATCCAGCAGTTTTCTGAGAAAACAGAAAGTATCAGACCAACTTCCTCTGAGAAAGATTCCATCAGTCCACGCAAGCCCCGGGGGGGGGGGCGACATAGTGGTTTCGTTTTTAGTTTTCACTTTTCCATTTTTGTTTTAAACTTTTTGATTTTCACTTCGCCATCTTGGAAAAATGGAAAAGTGAAAAATAAAAAAGACATCACTATGTGGCCCCCCTGGGCTTCCGTAGTCTACATCACCTGTTTAAAGATCTTTTTTATAGCTTTTTGTTATTTTGTTCAGAGATACTGTTGATAACTGCATATTAGATTTCACGCCTCGTATGCTGTATAAATTTTCATGGTTATCTGCATTTTGGGAGCTATTTCTCGAGGCACTTACGTAACTTTTGTTGACGTTACACGTAGCTTGATCAAAGTGAAACCATAGTTAGTAGAGGAGACTGATTAGGAAACCCGGCAAACATCAAAGTTGAAATTAATAGTGCTGTAGGTTATGTTGGAAGTTCCCTGACCGTGCACAATCCTTTAGTTTTTGTTCACAGATTGTGACTGAATAAATTAATGCAATGTTTCTATTGGTCAGTAAGTTTAAAATGATAGGAATGTTCTTGAACGTTGTGCATGGTCAGGTCCAAAATAGTCTGCTACACAGCCGTTTTTAGTGTCGTCACGCAACGCTCCTCCCATAGCAAAAGGTTTTCCAACCATTTCACTTTAAGTAGCTATTGTGAAACTGAAAGCTAAATGAAGGGAAAAATCCCTCATACAAGATTCATCTTTCACTTGGTAAAAGGTTTGATTGTCGCTCAAGTTAGTTTTGTGCAGGTCGTGTTATTTTGTGACGAAAAATTCAATTGACTTTTATATATAAACTTGTCTTACAAAGTATCATTTCCTCGTAGACCCTTTCGTCGTCACGAATCAAGGACCCTCTTGCGAATTATCAAGATTACTCGGGAATTACAACTGAGGTATGCATTTAATACGTTAGCAGCTGTTACACCAGATCCTTTGTTTAAGAAATGCCTTTGGCTTTAATCACCGGGAAACTTTCAGAAGAACTTTAGATCGGTCGACGTCGGTACGATCGTTTATATTTCAATGCAAGATGGCACAGCTGGTGGCAAGAGACAATTTTCGGCGATCGTACCCTGATCGGAAAAAAAAGCCGAGATAAGATTTCAGCCAGCTCTTTCATTTATTGTGCGTACGTGAGACTATGTACGCACTGACTGAAGTTAATTAATATAGTCTCTTAAAAAGAAACCGAGCAAAGTGAAAAATAAGCAAATGTGTTATAAAAAGCTATATCAACTGAAGTGCACAACGTTAAGCGTCTACTTGCCTTGAAAATACGGCTTTCCAAACAAGAAGTTTTCACAGTTAACAAGCCGCACAAGAGGAAAAGATTAATTGCTCAGGGAGAGTGTCGCTAAATCTAACTGCAACGCGACATAAATTGATAATGGCATTGGTAATTTTTACGGAATTTATTACAAGCTGGCAAGAATTAGGTTATCTTGCTTGCTGAGCTTTACCGATTATAAAGGCAGGTTACCGGTTATTCGTGGCAGGATTTGCTCAGTCGGTAGAGCGTTTGACTGCAGAGCGGGAGGTCGCGGGTTCGATTCCCGGGGCCGGACCATTACTCAGGGTCTTAAAATGACTGAGAAATGAAGGTACTTCCTTTGCACTGCAAGCGGCGAGACCTTCTCCTGGCTCAGATGACCACGTAAAATGGCGGTCCCGTCTCCATTAGGAGACGTAAAAATAGTGTCCCCAATTAGCACTTTCGTGCTAAATACATTGACACTCAAATAAAAAGTGCAAGTGCAAAGGTCCTTGAACGCCATTGAACTCGCAAAGTCTGACAATATGCCTACTGAATGCTAATGAGTTTTTGAAGTAAGGTTAATTAAGGTGGCTCGACTGGATTTTTTTGGGGAGATACCTCCCACGTTTGAGCATTAACTACGTCGGCATGAGTAAAGATATGGGAAAAAGGTTACCACAACTGTATTATATAATGATAAAAATTTCTTATGATCTGGGTTTTATTGCAATCGGAGTCGCCATGGCAACGTAATGACGCCATTACGCTTTTTCTTTATCTTTGTGTTTCTCTGTACCAGGAGTTTTTTGAAGAAATCGCTTAAGGGAGTATGTACCTGCCATAATTGCCTCCATTATGGCAAAGTTTCAACAAATTCTATGAGAGCGTTTTCGAAATATTTTGACACGCAGTTTTAACAATCATAAAAGCAGTGAAATAGCATGCTATCCATACAATTCGCTAATATTTTAAGAAACTGATAAGCTTTGGAAACGCGGCTTCATCCCATAGTGGTTTGGTTCCATTGAAAACTGCATACAAAAAAAGAAGGGAATTGCTCTGAGCGATTGCGAGTAAAAAGAATTTTATTGACTTACATTCAGCTGCTTTTGTTATAGTATGTGGACGTAATTTGGTCCATGCCTACAAATTTCGGATTTTTGAAAAAACCGCTCGATAATTTTTTTTATAAATTCGACAATCTAGAGATCAATTATTAATAAACATTCCCTGCAAGTTTCAAGAACATTGAAAACAGGCAAGGTTTTTAAATAGGGCCTCAAATATAACCAATTTTTTTTGCCAGATTTTGTGTTTACAAGTGAGCGGCCTCATTATTCACTGGCATTGTTTTCAACTTTCATATACACGTGCGCATTTAGCAAAAAGATAAAATTTGCATCAAAAAGGACCCTCGGTTATATCTCCGGAATATGCTAATTACCGGGTAAAGAGATTAGTGATACATTATAACGGCAGAGTTATTCTTTGTAAGAGTTTCTGTGATGTTATAACCCGAGTAAGATAATTAAGTATTGCATCCTACACGATGAGCGGTGACGTTCATCGTTTCGGCTCTCACTGTTATCGGTGACACAAGCCAATTATTAGCATATTCCGAATATTTCTTCGGAAAGTAATCGAGAGTTCTTTTTGATGCAAATTTGTATCTTTTGCTAGTTATGCACGTGCATATGAAACTTTAAAACAATGCCAGCGAATAAAGAGGATGCTCACTTGTAAACACAAAATCGGGGGAAAAAATTGGTTATATTTGAGGCCCTATTTAAAAGCCTTCCCTGTTTTCAATGTTCTTGAAACTTGCAGGGAATATTTATTGACAATTGATCTCCAGATTGTCGAATTTATAAAAAAATTTATCGAGCGGTTTTTTGAAAAATGCGATGTTTGTAGGCATGGACCAAATTACGTCCAAAACCTGTAACAAAAGCAGCTGAATGCAAGTCAATAAAATTCTTCTTACTCGCGATCGCTCAGAGCAATTCCCCTTTTTTTTGGATGCAGTTTTCAATGGAACCAAACCATTATGGGATGAAGCCGCGTTTCCAAAGCTTATCAGTTTCTTAAAATATTAGCGAATTGTGTGGATAGCATGCTGTTTCACTGTTTTTATGATTGTTAAAACTGCGTGTCAAAATATTTCGAAAACGCTCTCATAGAATTTGTAAAATTTGCCTCCATAACGGAGGCAATTATGGCAGGTACATACTCCCTTAAGCGATTTCTTCAAAAAACTCCTGGTACAGAGAAACACAAAGATAAATAAAAAGCGTATTGGCGTCATTACGTTGCCATGGCGACTCCGATTGCAATAAAACCCAGATCATAACAAATTTTTATCATTATATAAAACAGTTGTGGTAACCTTTTTCCCATATCTTTACTCATGCCGACGTAGCTAAAGCTCAAACGTGGGAGGTATCCCCCCCAAAAAATCCAGTCGAGCCACCTTAAACACTGGTTTACAGAAAGCCTGTAGTAGTTTAGGTAAAACATACAGCCAACATGATGGTCAGCCAAAATTCCTTCAACAAACAAACGATATGATGAGACAAGGTTCATTTAAATTTAAATTTCCTGCCTTAAACGTTTTCTGTAAGTTTTGGTGCTTGTGTTTATACGTCACGCTACTAAAAGGAGGCTGCGTACCACCGCACACGCTAAACGTCTTAATTCACAATCTATTTTCATGATATATTTTATTCTACATGACACTGTAAGAAATAATTATTTTTATTATATAGACAGGAGTGTTTTACTGGAAAATATACCACTCGTAAAATTCATAAAAACTACATCCGGGACCCGAGTGGTTTATTTTCCATAATCTCACACGCAAGTTTATCGATGATGTAATTTTGGTGATTTCCGTCTATTATTTTATCGATGTCATTTTGTCTATATAATAAAAAGAACGTTACACGGCGGCTTGAAGATATGAATTTTATTTTCGAGTGGCAAAAACAATATTTTACTCACTCGCTGCGCTCGTTCGTAAAATATAGTTTTGCCACTCGAAAATAAAAGTCATATCTTCGCGCCACCGTGTAATATTCTCTATATAATATATTTTTTATGCATTATTAGCATAATCCTTACTTAAAAAAGGGAGGGCTACAGGATATATTTTCCCTTGGGCCAGGTACTCAAGAAATTTTTACGGGGACGACTACGCCCCAAGGTCTAACTCCTTACCCTTTTATATAAGTTATATACCGTTTTGATAGAAAAGGTCCCCCTTTCGTACACTTTCTATTACCAAATGAGATCCCTTTTAAATACGCAGTTTAGATCTTTCCTTCCCTTTAACTGCTGGCGTGGAGATGTACTGTCTTTAAATTGTGAATTAATCAGAAAACCAGAACGTGTTCTAGTCTTTTTCACAGCCATGAAATGCATCTATTAGCTCCTTTTTACCGACCGAGATGACTGATTTCCCTGCCCTTTTATATACTTCAACTAATGAAACCCCTTCCCACTCATATACCGTATTTTCTCGAATAATTGGCGGGGTCGATTTTTTTTGGCACCAAAAGGGGGCAATTATTTCAGGGATGGTGATTATTCGAGGGATGCGATTATTGCAAATATTGTTCAATAGAAGTTTTGTCCTAAATATTTTATTCTTTTTTCAAATGAAATCAAAAAATAATCTCATCAATTAAACTGAACATTGGCATTTAAAGTGTTGAAAGTTTGGTTCGATGATTAAGTTTCACTGTCAATGTCCTCGGCGTCAGAGCTTAAGTCGTCACTGATCAGTTTTGCTGGATATGACTACACGTTAGCTTCATCCTTAAGGATTACCGCTATGATTATTGTTGTCAAGTATTTTTTTAAGACGGATTTATCTCATCTTTTAACTTTAGTTTTTGTTTCATTAAGTGGGTCAAGGTTAGTCTTGATTTGTCCACATAAGTGTTTTCCTGTTTTGATATTTTGTTTTTACTTGTCACTTGAATTTATGCTTTGCTCGCGAGTTTACTTATCACCATTTAAGGAATATTCTTCGCTTGTCGTTGTCAGATGTTAGTTTTTCATAGGTGGCCGTGTTTGTGATGTTAGAGCTGACCTTGGTACGTTAGTCTCGTTGAAGTTCCTGTTTGGGTTTTTTCACCAGCGTTTTAGTTTTTCGTTGGTTTGTAGCTCCTCGTCGATCGCAACCATGTTATGTAGGTTCACTTACACCAAAATATTACCCACACCGAGTTCACCTTGATTTTATTCCCACGGTCAGCTAACGAAAGAACATGTCCAGCTTTGGTTATAAAAACGGCGGCTATTTAACTAGTTGAGAGAGAAGAAAGGTAGTTGTAGAAGAAAGTGAGTGAAAGAGTTAGAAGAGTAAGAAGATTAAGTTTGTTAGCAGAAGTCACAGAAGAATAAACACCAAGATGTAAATCAGAGTCCTAGTACCTCATCGTGTAGCGAGCGAGTTCCTGGAACACACCTCACAGTTTCCATAGCGTATAACCTAAAGGAGTGCGGGGACGATTACTCAGGGGAGGCGATTTTTTCAAACATTTCCGTTCCCCCAACACAAACATCTTGTAAAATGTTACTTTTTAAACCTTCAATTGATTCACGAGTTGGCCCATAGAGCCCTTTGATTTATGTACACCGTGTTTCAACAATGGTAAATCTGTGTTGTTTTTTTTCCTTTAGAAATTTCGATTATTATCATCTCAAAGAAAAATTATTTTCTTTTATTAGAGAAGACCCCATTCCATCAAGTCATATTACATAACGGTGAAAAACTCGTGGAAGGATCACGATTTTTGGCAAATCAAATGCGACTGTGATAGACAAAAACCAAGTAACAAAGGAGCTAACAGATAAGGTTTTACCCTAGGTTTTAATTTTACTTCTTATCTTCGTTATCGTACATATAGGAAAATGGTATCACGGACAAAAACCCACAACATATTTATACTTTTTTTCACAAGAGCTGAAACAGCAAAGCAAGCCAAAAATGTGACAACCACAACCATCTTCTGGGAAAGCAGTCGATTTTATGTGCAATTCGTTATTGGAATGGATGAGAAAGGACAAACAGAAGCGAACTGTAATCTTCAAAACACCAACAAGATTGCCAATGAAGTTGGAGAGAGGAGAGAGGAAGAAAAAGGGAAAAGTAATATAGGCGACGTCAATTTCAACTCTAAAGATTTCCAGAACGCCATAGACTGCCATGAACGAGAGCTCAAAATTTCAAAAGAAGTGGGAGACAGGGTAGGAGAAGGAAGAGCGTACTGTAATCTTGGCATCGCCTTTAGAAATCTTGGACATTTCCAGAAAGCCATAGAGTACCATGAACAACACCTCAAAATTTCGAAAGAAGTGGGAGAAAGGGTAGGAGAAGGACGAGCGTACTGTAATCTTGGCAACGCCTATCACAGTCTTGGAGATTTCCAGAAAGCCATAGAGTACCATGAACGACACCTCAAAATTTCGAAGGAAGTGGGAGACAGGGCAGGAGAAGAAAGAGCGTACTGTAATCTTGGCAACGCCTATCACAGTCTTGGAGATTTCCAGAAAGCCATAAAGTACCATGAACAAGACCTAAAAATTTCGAAAGAAGTGGGAGACAGGGAAAGAGAAGGAGGAGCGTATGGTAATCTTGGCAACGCCTATGACAGTCTTGGAGATTTTCAGAAAGCCATGGAGTACCATGAACGAGACCTTAAAATTTCGACAGAAGTGGGAGACAGGGCAGGAAAAGGACGAGCGTATTGTAATCTTGGCAACTCCTATTATAGTCTTGGAGATTTCCAGAAAGCCATAGAGTACCATGAACAAGACCTAAAAATTTCGAAAGAAGTGGGAGACAGGGCAGGACAAGGAGGAGCGTATGGTAATCTTGGCAACGCCTATCACAGTCTTGGAGATTTTCAGAAAGCCATAGAGTACCATCAACGATACCTCAAAATTTCGACAGAAGTGGGAGACAGGGCAGGAGAAGGACGAGCGTATGGTAATCTTGGCAACGCCTATGAGGGTCTTGGAGATTTCAAGAGGGCCATCGACTACCATGAACGAGACCTTAAAATTTCGAAAGAAGTGGGAGACAAGGTAGGAGAAGGAGGAGCGTATGGTAATCTTGGCAACGCCTATAACAGACTTGGAGATTTCAAGAAAGCCATAGAGTACCATGAACGACACCTCAAAATTTCGAAAGAAGTGGGAGACAGGGCAGGGGAAGGACGAGCGCATGGTAATCTTGGCAACGCCTATGAGAATCTTGGAGATTTCAAGACAGCCATAGAGTACCATGAAAGAGACGTTAAAATTTCGAAAGAAGTGGGAGACAGGGCAGGAGAAGGAACAGCGTACGGTAATCTTGGCAACGCCTATAACAGACTTGGAGATTTCCAGAAAGCGATAGAGTACTATAAAAGAGACCTCGAAATTTCGAAAGAAGTGGGAAACAGGGCAGGAGAAGGAACAGCGTACGGTAATCTTGGCAACGCCTATAACGGTCTTGGAGATTTCCAGAAAGCTATAGAGTACCATGAACGAGATTTCAAAATTTCGAAAGAAGTAGGAAACAGGGCTGGAGAGGGAAGAGCGTACTGTAATCTTGGCAACGCCTTTACAAATCTTGGAGATTTCCAGAAAGCCATAGAGTACCATGAACGATACCTCAAAATTTCGAAAAAAGTGAAAGACAGGGCAGGAGAAGGACGAGCGTATGGTAATCTTGGCAACGCCTATGACAGTCTTGGGGATTTTGAAAAAGCCAAAGAGTACCATGAACGACATCTCAAAATTTCGAGAGAAGTTGGAGATAAGGCCGAAGAAGGAAGAGCGTACGGTAGTCTTGGCAACGTCTATAACGCTCTTGGAGATTTCCAGATAGCCATAGAGTACCATGAACAACTCCTGGAAACTTCGAAAGAAGTGGGAGACAGGGTAGGAGAAGGATTAGCGTACGGTAATCTTGGCTACGCCTATGACAATCTTGGAGAGTGGCAGAAAGCCATAGAGTATCATGAACGACACCTCAAAATTTCGAAAGAAGTGGGAAACAGGGCAGGAGAAGGAGAAGCGTATTTTAATCTTGGCAACGCCTTTCACAATCTTAGAGAATTGGAGAAAGCCGTTCACTATTATAAGAAGAGTGTTATGGCCTTCGACCATATCAGAAGACATCTTATATCTAATGACGAATGGAAGATTAGCCTTAGGAGTACGTATGAAAATATTAATTTGAGGCTATGGGAGTTGCAGTTTAACGAAGGTAAAGTCGTTGAGGCACTTTTAACTGCTGATCATGGACGTGCCCAAGCCTTAAATGATCTTCTGGAGTTCAAGTATGGGTTCAAAGGGTTACGTCCAGAAATAGGAACACCCTCTGTAACAACACCTGACATTCTTAGTTACCTACCATCAAATTTAGCTTTCATAGGTATCAACGAGGGAGGAATAGTTCTCTGGGTGAACGAGAAAGGAAAAGAAATCAAAACCAGGAGTGTTCAGATTGATATCCCCGTCACAACCTATTTTCAGTCTCTTTTGGAAACTACACATAAAGAAATAGGTGTGAGAGCTGATGTTAATTGTGAAGATCGCTCATTAAGGAACCCAAGCGATAAAAAGTTACCAGAAGCCAGATCCAGTAAGCCAAAGTCACATCCTTCATATTTTGAGACAAAGTCATTACAAACATTGTACAATGTTGTTATTGACCCTATAAGAGACTTACTCCAGGCCGATGAGGTTGTGGTCGTTCCACAAGGACCTCTCTGTTTGGCGCCTTATGCGGCTTTTTTGGACTTAAAATCAAAGTACCTCTGCGAAACTTTTAGAATTCGTCTGCTTCCCTCCCTTTCTTGTCTGCGATTAATCCAAAATTGTCCTGCAGATTGGCACAGTAAGACTGGCGCTCTTCTCGTCGGCGATCCGTGGGTACAGGAGGTAATTTATGAAGGAAAGAAATTAAAGCAGTTGCAGTGGGCCGAAAAGGAAGTGCAAATGATCGGGGAAATACTTCAAACTTCACCTCTCGTTGGAAAGCATGCAACAAAAGATGAAGTTTTAAGACGTATTTCCTCGGTTGGTTTGGTGCACATTGCTGCTCACGGTAAAATGGAAACAGGGGAAATTGCCTTGGCCCCAAACACAACACGTTCATCCCCGATTCCAGTAAAAGAAGACTATCTCTTAACTATGAAGGATGTTTTAAAGGCGCAGATTAGGGCAAGACTTGTTGTACTCAGTTGCTGTCACAGTGCTCGCGGAGAGGTCAAATCTGAGGGCGTGGTCGGTATTGCACGGGCATTTTTGGGTGCTGGTGCTCGTTCTGTTCTGGTCTCCCTATGGGCGATTGACGACGAGGCTACGATGGAGTTCATGGAATTTTTCTACCGACAACTAGTCAATGGAAGAAGTGCCAGTGAGGCTCTGAATGAGGCCATGAAATCCATGAGAGAATCTGACCGCTTTAGTGCAGTGAAGTACTGGGCACCGTTTGTTCTCATTGGTGACGACGTGACGCTTGAGTTTGAGGGCATCAATTAAATAGCAAGGTATTTTGGGATGTATTTAAACCTGGGATCATATTACGTGTTTAAACAAAATTTTTATAAGGCAACGAACTCAACCGGTGCCACTTAACATCAAGCTGCCAATCACAGGTCATGTCAGCAGTTAAAAAGGACTCTGACTTTAGGATATTTTAGGCAGTCAAAGACAAGAACATTTCTGTACATTACAAAGTGTCGGTGGCCCTGTTTGAGTTCGTTCCATTGTAAAATTACAGTAGAACCTGCCGTAAGGGACCACCTAAAAAATGCCAATATTTGCCGGTTACTTACGAACGGTGGTCGCTTAGGAGTGGTTCCAGGTATGGTGCTTTGGGTGGAAAAATGATTTTGGTATTTTTGATGAGTGGTCGGTTATGAGATGTAACAGAGGTCATACTCACCGACTGAAAGGTAGGAACCTACCGTAAATCCTGCCTCTATTAAGCTTCCCCCCCCCCCCCCCCCCGAGGGACTTATTTCTTTCAATCATGTTTAAGGGGGCGGTTATTTAATTAAGCGTAGATTGTGTTAAGACTATCGATTCTCTATTCCGAATAGAGACCGAAGCTAAAGTAGAAGAACTGAATCATATGAAGTTGGAGGTCGCGCAGCCGAAGATCAAAAACAAGTTTGAACTTCCAGGACGTGAATAAACCATACGGGATCAGTCCACGTGAGGTGTTACAATCGTGATTAATTATTACATCTGCCATACGTCTATTATTTAAGAATAGGTGGAGGGGGCTTAAAAGGAAAGAATTTTCCTCCCTGAAATTGGGGGGAGGGGCTTATTGGACAGGGGTCTTCATAGAGGATTTACGGTATGAAAGTATCAATTATCTACGATAAGGCTCTTTGTAGAATCTTATGAAGTTAACAGTTTAAATATTATCCTTTGCTCTAACAGATTTAGAATATTGTACCTCGCCGGCTGAAATCACTATCCTTTCCTTTAACTAGCTTGCTAACGTTTCTTTTTGCTGTTTTTGTTGTATAGGTACGAAGAGAATGCAGTGAAGCGGTTCCTATCTGAATTTTAATTCAGTTTTATTGTGTAACAAATACAAAGTGGAGCGTTCATCGCTTAGGAACTCCTTATCCAGAAGAGAAAATCAAGTGTACTTTTCGTAGATTGAGTCAGGAGACTATTCGTGTGCACACCTTGTGCGGTAGTAACTTGTTCAGTAGTCACCTGAGAAGGACATCAGGAATCAGTAGTCAATTCTTATTTTCATTATTATACCATATTTTACAGAGTCATTTTAGACGTGTCTATTGACAATATGATATAGTTTTTGATGCTTTTATTATAGTTACACAGTTGTAGTTTTTATTCTTTTGGCTGATCAGTTTACTCTTACTGTCTACAAAGGTCACAATTCTAATTTTGCAATCAAATTACTTGTTCAATTACTGGGTTAAATAACTAATTTTGTAGTTTTACATTTACTCACTTTTAGTTATGCGTAGGACTGCTATTTAATAGGTTTGTTCGCGTGTGGTTTGTTTCAATATCAAGTTTTCTTATTTCTATTGTTGGCACCTTTTATCTGCAAGTTGGTTGTAACTTTGCCGTTTACTGTACCCCTTTTTACTGTCGAACTATTCATTTGTCTAACTGCGTATAAATACGACTACTTAATTCAGTTTCTCCAATTTTTTAGCTCGGCTGGTTAGCTTTGCTTTTACCAGTGGAGCTTAGCTTCTCAGAAAGTCTCAACCTCTGGTAATTTTTTACTGTTGGGCCAACTCAGTCACCCCTCCCCTTCCAACTTAGATCTTCGTGTCGGCAATCGATACACAGCGAGGAACTCGGAGACAGTGTAACAACCTGGGAGACCTTGTTGGGCAATTGAAACAACCCCAGCAACAGGGTAAGGTTCTGTACTAAATTAGTCATACGCATTCAAAGCAACATCTGGTCTTAACTGTGCTATCTCACGGCGTCTTTAGCCCTGTTGTGACACCGCGTGAACGGATGGCTCTACGCACGTTTGCAAAAAAAAAAAAAGGAGCCACATGAATTGACCTTACGAAGTGTCCTTTGCACAAACGCTACAAATTCCAGTTAGCGTACTCTATTTTATTTGCTTATTTTATTGCTTTGTTAATTGGACCCCCGAGGCCCCTATATTCAGGCTAGTTCGGTTTATGCCGCGGTTCAGGCACAAAATCAAATACAAAATTTCAAAAACCAGAAAAACAAATATATGAAAAAAATTCAAAACTACACGCAAAATACAAGGTTCCAGTTTTATTCGCTGCGCTTTTGTTTTTTTCTCTTTAAGACACTTATCATTTTAACTTCATTTTTTTTTCTCCACTCAGCTGAGGACAGCTGAAACTTAAGATGGAGGAATGTGAAGAGAGAATTTATTGTTATTAAGTTATTTTGCTTTCGCTGATAAAAAATATGAAAAGCCAATGTAGAAATTCTTTATTCTTTAGTCTTAGCTTCTCCAAACCATAAACAACCTGTTGATATTTATTGAGCGTAAACTTATTTGTCGAGTCATGATTGTAGTAGCCTCCAAGCTGTAATCAACCTGTGAGGAACAGTTATCTACTTGTGTAAACTTTTGGAAGTAATTAATGTTTCACTACAAGTTTCCATTTCCACCAATAGTCTTTCAGAAATGATTTTTGTATTCGGTTATTTTGACTCGTTGAGTTATGACGTGATCTGTATCCAATCATTAGCTTAGGCTTAAATACAAGTGCTTTGTATGAATTTCTTCGGTTACATCCTGGTTACGTCTTGGATTAAACCTCTACATTGGAGTCAAGTTCTGTGTACTATTGTTGTTTTAAGGGTATTCAACAGGCGAAAGGGATTCCGCGCCTCTTCGCAGCCAGCGAGTGTCCCCAGGAAAAGGCCTTTCCCAGAGAGCATTGTAGAGTTTTCCCCGTCGTCCGTTTATCCTTTTGGGGAGGCAAAAACCTGTTTCCACACTGGTGTTTAAGTGAAAAAGTTTTTTCAAATTTCTTTTCCCAACGAAAAATTCTAATGATCCAGATTTTTATCTGATCTTAGACTTTAGTAAAGAAACGCACTCTGAGTTTCCAGCTCGGCTAGTTAGCTTTTTTTTTTGGCTGTCAGCTGCCCAAAATGTCTTGATCTCTGGTAATTTTTTACTGTGTGGCCCTGTCCGTCACCCCTCCCTTCACAACTTAGTTCTTACTGTGTGGCCCTCTAAGTCACCCCTCCCTTCACAACCTAGTTCTTCGTGTCGGCAACCGATATACAGTTTTGGATTTCTAAGACAATCAGGGGCGTTGCCACCAATTTGTTCCTTTTAAGCCCGAGTTGTAGAAGTCTTGAAAGAGCGGGGATCGGGGTAGGGGGTGAGGACATAAAAAAAAATCTGGATAGCACATCATTTTCAAGGGAATTACCTTAATAAATTCTTTAGAAATTCTTATTCCCAAGAGACTCGAATTGTTTGAGGTTGAATTCTAAAATATGGAAATTGGTCAATTCGTGTGGAGTGGTCAAACAGTCGTTTTGCCAGAGAGAGATGAGTAACTCAAAGGAATACTATTCTTAACGTTAAGGCAGAGTAGTTTTGGAAACTCTTTCGGACCTCTCACTTCGACAGAGTTTTGTGTCCGTCGTCCAGCGAGTCACGTTGCAAACAAGGACGTTCGCAGGTAAAAATTGGAGATGTAATGTCAAATTCGTTTAAAAGTCACGCGGCCGGTGATGCGAATATCTAGTTTGCGCTATGACAACAGCCGACGACGAAAGTGAAGTCCAAGAAAATGTGGTAAGTACATTAAATCGAAAAATTTTGACTTGTGTAGTTTTAGTGGGATGGTTAAACATGTTGAGGGGAACATGAGCAGGGGACTGGAAAAATATATTGCACTGTTCTGTTATTGTTATCAGCTACTAATTGTTTCAACTTCCGCACCCCGCCTCTATTACAATCAAAGCCGCCACCAACGTTTCAGACAGTGAATAATACTGTGAGGGATTATTTAACAAATGATTCCCTTAAAAAGAACAAAAATAACCGAGAAAAGTAAAAATAATTGCTGTTAATACGCTGTCTTTAAAATATGAATAAATAAGAAAACCAGCACGTGCTCCAGAATTTTTTACAGCCATAACATGCATCAGGGGCACCCAATAGATCTGTTTCTAAATATATATATGTTCTTCAGGTCAATTTTTGCTGGATGGGAGTTTGGAAGAAGTGATATGTCCAAAGATGGAAAGTGTTGCTTGGAAAAATATAACTGTGGTTGTCTGTTGGGATTTGATGTGTAAAATATCTGGCATGAGTTTTTTGCCAGACACTTCCCCACCCCCCTAAGGGATAAATTCGCCTTTTGGCCACACCCATGTTTCTATGCCCCCCTCTACCCCCCACTGAAGGTCTGAATTTTGTCCTGTGGCCTCACCCAAACCGGCCAGAAGTGGCTGGAGATACCTCTGCTGGGAAACTTCCCAGTAAGTCAGGTTGCGTGTTGTAGGTACACCTTGCTGGCTTGGAACTCTTCCATCAGTCTTGCTGGTAGTGAGGAACACATACATTTTTCCCAGCAATCTCCCAATCGAAGTGACTGCACACAGAGGGAGTCAAATAAAGGTAAAGGTACTGAAGTAAAGCAGTCCCCACCCCTTCCATTTTCTCAGGGAAACGCCCTGGGAACGAGGTTAAAGCGGGACCCCGCTCTTTGAGCCTTTTGTGAAGGGAAAAACCTGTTTCCACACTGGTGTTTAAGTGAAAAACATGTTTTCACATTTGGATACAACGTTTCTTTTCCTAACGAAAAATCCCAATGATCCGGATTTTTGATCTGATCTTGGATTTTAGTAAAGAAACGCTTAGTTAGAAACGTTTAGTTAGCTCGGCTAGTTAGCTTTCTTATTTAGCTGTCAGTGGAGCTTAATAAGCTCCCCAAAGTGTCTCGATCTCTTGTAATTTTTTACTGTGTGGACCTCTCAGTCACCCCTCCCTTCACAACTTAGTTCTTACTGTGTGGCCC